TAATGATTTGGGACACTGATATGTAGCACTTAATGCGTCTCTTCAGACTCTGCTTTTCTGTACTTGATAAGAAGAAGCATGCTATTTTGGTTGCTTTTTGTATTAACTTTCATAAACATCTGTTTTAGGTTCTTATGAGACCTTCTCTGTTTTTCCTGATACTACCTTTCTTTTTCCACACTTTTGTCTTCCCTGGCTCATGTTTTTTCTCTTCTTGTCCTGATGGCTTTTTATATGTGTTAGTAATAATGCATATATCAAATACTTTCAGGTGCTGGTTTTCTTCCTTTCTTTGATTTGTTTTTTTTTGTTTTGTTTTTATTTTTTGATACAAGGTCTTCCTTCGTAGTTCAGGCTGGCTTTGAATTCACTATATAACCCCAGCTGCCCTTGAACTCACAGTATCTTCCTTCCCCATCTTCCGAGTGTTGTAATTATAGGTGTGTCCACCATGCTCAGTGTTGTTAGTAAATATAAATAATTAGTGGTAGGAAATACACACAGATGAATGAAATTTTTTTATCTCGCTAAGGAGCTGTTGAGTTCTTTGTGGGCATTGTAACTTTCAGTACTGCCTCTCTGTGTTCCCTGCATTACACTCCTAGCAAGGAGTCTGATAAAACAGCTGCAGACCTCCTCATATACTGTCTGTGTAAGTGCAGCTCCTTCACATTTTTCTTCTTTGCAGCATTCTGAAGAGTGTTTCCAGTTTTATCTTGTAGTTCACTGATTTCGGTTTGGATTATAAGTTAGTTATTATAGTATTTTTATTCATTGATGTTTCATTTGATTCTTTTTTGGGGGGGAAGGGTAGTGAGAGTGAAACTCAGGATGTGGCGTTTGCCAGGCAGGTGTTGAGCTGCTGAGCTGTATCCTCGGCCCTAATTCTTTCAAAAATAAGCTCTAGTCACTTTTTCCTTAATATTTTAAAGTATTTATGTCTTTAAAAAGATAAAACAGTTATTTTATGTTTCTTACCTGATAATTGTTTAATTCCCAAGGATCTTTGAAGATCTGATTCTGATATTGCGTCCAAATCTTTATAATGGTAGCTGGTTTACATGTCTGTTTTATGAGTTTTGATTCTGTTTAATGGTACTTTGTCTATGGAAATTGCTTACTTCTGCTAGACAGGTGGGCACAACCAGTCTTGGAACAGTTTAGACTGAGTTCCACTTTGGTACTTTTTAATCAAACAGATAATGTTAATACCAGCCTCAGGCAGCCCGAGGGCCAGAAAGTAGCATTTCTTGTCTGTCTTGTTTCTTGTGTCATCTTTACAGTAGTAATTCTGTTGTGGGATATGTTATTCAGTGTATGTTGTGTTAAACATGCAGTGGACTCTTCAGGCAAGCAGTTTTGGGAAAATTAGGTTGAATGATATAAACAATTTTTTTCAGAGCAGAGCCTCTCAAAGTATTTACTAGGCAAATTGAAATCTTCACCCTTAGTATTTGTGACAGTAAACAGAATTTTCCTTGTTCCAGTCCACTCCCTTGAGGTGGTGTATATATGTGGAGCATTTCCTGGGCCAGTGAGACCAGTGGAATGCACTTGGACAGATAAAGTTGGCCCTTGGTAACCCTGGCTTTTTTTGACTGCCTTCTCACTGTCTTTTTATGTGCATCTCTCTTATGTATGGAGTGTGCGCGCGCGCGCACAGCTTGTATTTAAGCTCCTGAGCAAAGATGTGATCATGTCTGGTGACCTTTAGAAGGATGTTGCCATTGAGCAGAGCTCTTGTATCGGGTCAGAGGCATCGGGCCGCTTTTCTTCAGGCCAGTTACCTAGCCATCCAGAATAATAGGTGCGCAAGACTGTTTTATTTGTTTTGCATTCTGTGTATTTATGTTTTTTAGATTTTATTTTAAAGAGAATAAAACCAAGCAAAATAAAACAGAATAAAGCTAGTCAAAAAAACCAGTGTAAGTGATACAGGATTCAAAACAATACAAAATCAGCAATGATGGTTACCATAATGCCTCTTGGTGACTTAATAGCTGCAGATACTTTTAGACATAGTAAAAATCAAACAAAACAGAACAGAATAGAACCAATAAAACCAAAACAGTGGCTGCAATAAAGAACTTCAAAACAAGAAGTAGTAAATCCTAAATGGTTACCATCATGTATCTTGCTATCGTTGAAATAGCTGCCAATGATATCAGATATAACAAAATCAAACAAAATGGGGGCTGGGGATTTAGCTCAGCGGCATAAGCGCCTGCCTTGCAAGTGCATGGTTGTGAGTTCGATCCCCAGTAGCAATAAAAAAAAATTAACAAAACAATAAAAATGATACAGGACTTCCAAAACAAGATAACAGGGAATTAACAATGGCTATCACCTCATAGATGCCACACTGTATACCATTACCTTCTGAATAGATGATCAGACCACTGGCCCTTGACCTGCAAAGTCAGTGAAACATCAACTACCACAAATATCAAATTGCATTTCATCTAAATAGCTATCATAGCAGCCTGTGTTTCTCCAGATCAGCCAGTGGCTTACAGGCTGGGGGAGGTGGTCGATGTTTGGCTCTTCTTGTTTCCCAGTCTGTGTGCTAGAAGGGCTGGGGCCTGGCTGTTGCACTGTAGCGATGCCCATGCATGGTGCTAGTTTGCAGGAAGGGCTTGCTTCTTGATGAATTTGATTCTCTTTCCCCACAGTCCACTAGTGGCATTGACTGACGAGGGAAAAAACTGGGGTCTGGTTGTCCTCCAGTGGTGTTGGCAGCTTGTGTGTGGTGCTGGTTTGCAGGGAGGGCTCGCTTCTTGGTGAATTGTGGTTTTCTTCCCTCACCTGCATTCTGTTTATTTTGTCCCCTCCAGTTGAGTATAAATGTCCTAAGATCCTGTGTGTCTAATTTATCATTGTTTCTCCCATTGAACTTTAGAAATGATGTCTGTTAGATGCTGGGTCACACGTACTTGTTAGCATTAGCCTTTTAGTTTGTCAAGTCTCACAGTCACCTGTGGGCAGAGCAGTGGAGCTGCAGTCTTCTCAGATGGCCTGTTCAGTAAGGATGGTTTCCTTTCCTTGTTCTTTTTTGTTTGTTTGTTTGTTTGTTTTTTAGAGAGGATCTCACTGTGTAGTTCAGACTGGCCTCTAACTCACTATGTAGTGAAGGCTGGCCCCAAACTCATGGTGATCTTCCCACTGTAGCCTCCCGAGTACTGGGATTACAGCTATGTGCCACCATGCCTGGTTTTCTTTTCAGGCGTTACTGGATCCACTAATATCTTTTGAATAGAAATCAACTCTGCCAGACTCTGCAAGCATCCTGAATGAAAAATACGGGTCATGTTGTAGGCATGAGCTCTGTGAATGCTTTTCTCTTAGTCTCTTAGGGAAGTTCTGCCCAAGAGAGCGTGGTTTTGTTTTTATTTTATTTATTTTTTTGGTACCGGGTATTGAACTTACGACCTTGCACTTGCCAGGCAGGTGCTTATGCTGTTGAGCTAAGCTCCTGGCCCAGGTTCTGTTTTTAAAATGGCAACTATTGAGAAGATATGATTTATTAATGAAATTCTAACTTTAAGCCAATGTTGGAAGGTGATTTTTTTAAAACTAAGTGTGTATTTATAGTCATTTAGTTATCTTAAATATTTTTATCCTAATTTCAAATAGCATCATAACCAGTTGTTATATATTAATCATTTAGTGCTTGCTATACTACTTGTGATACATTTTGTTTATACCCATTTCCTATATGGGTAAAGCAAAGCAAATGGAAATTAGGTCTCTTACTACGTATCATATCACTTGTAAGCTATAGTTGTATTTAGAACTTTCACATAGGCATAGGTTCTGATGTTTTTACACAGTACACTCTACTTCTATACTCTATATAGACATATAAACAAACAGCTGTTATAAACCTATTTGGTACTTTAACTGAACATTAATCCTGATTGCAAATCTGTAATGATGTGTACAGCACATGGCTTGTTTTATAATCAGTACAGGGTTTTCTTTGTTTATTATTCGATGTGATTCTGTTTGTTTTAGAGATGTTATAAAAGGCTTAAAAGTAGAAGTACTGGATTCTCCTCCTCAAATAAGGTATATGTGGGGAACATTTAAGTTTGATACACTGTAAACTGAAAAGTATACATTTTGGTAATGAGGAGCAATCTTTCTGGGAATGATAAAGCTTGATAGCTTATTGTGTTCTCACTGCAATAGTAGTCCAGTGTCAGCTTATATCAAAGAGCTGGCCTCAAAGTTGGATGTCCCAGAGTGTAACTCTTAATTAGAAATGAGTCGCCACTTTATGCTTTGCCACTTTAGATAACATGCCTTTCTTCTGTGGCTCTCAAAGGCTTTTATATTTCTGTTGACAGCAGCTTCTTAAATTAAGTAAAAAGTTACTCAAGGCAAAATATGTTGAATCCTTAGACAGTTGACCTACTGTCCCAGTTGTATTAACTTATATTTAAAACATCCTAAACGATGAAGGCCACATTGAATTCTAGAAAATTATAAATAGAAGCATAGGTTGTATTGAAAATAAAAGAATCTGTATTCTACAAATAATCATGAAATGAAAAATTTAGTGTCAATAGGATAAAGTATGTAGGTTACATTGAATAACAAGGTTAAAAGTATTCCTGGGACAGTAATACCTTACAGATATTTTGTAAATAACTTTTAGGTATTGAGTGAAACATATTTTTGTCCAGTTTTTAGAATAAATAAATGAACTCCCAGCACTTTTATGCTTTGGTAATTTTACGTTCACATATGGAGCAATAAAGGCAGAGATTATTTTGATCATGCTTTTTAGAATATATGCTTTGTGTGGGGAATAGGAATACTAACTTTTGTATTGTTTATTTCAATTTATATTGTTAAAACATTAGCAGACAAATATATATATATATATATATATATATATTTATAATGAATCGCGTATCTTATATCATGCCCTTAAATTATATAGTACTTGTGAAATTTTTAGTGCTTGAAAAGTAAAGAATTTTTTTCACCCCCAGAAACGTGCCAAGGGACAGGCGTTGTTTGACAGTGTGTGTGAACATCTCAATCTCTTGGAAAAGGACTACTTTGGACTTTTGTTTCAGGAAAGTTCCGAGCAGAAAGTAAGTGATTTCAGCTTCATTCATGTCTTTCTAGAAAATGTTGTCTTTTTTCCTAACCAGTTTATCTCAGAATAATATTTAGCCTTCAAATATTTAATGTGTTCATTATCATAAATTTTTATGTATTGGTAAATATTTTAAAATTATCTGTGATAAGAACCACTTAACTTTTTGGTGTGCATACAGTCATATGTATGTGTTTTGTGTATACTTTCCGTTTATATTACGGGCAGGTTAATTATTTCAGGACTGATTTTGAAATTACGTTAAATTTTTAGCTTTTAAATTCCTAGTGGAGTCATTTGAAGAATTTGTGTGTGTGTGAGGTGTTTTAAAAATACATACATTAATAACATACATACATCACAGTAGAAGATTTTCAGTGGTGGGAAAATTCATAGTGTGGCAAAGAGTAAGGGCAACATAGACTTTTAAAAAGTGTATTACCTGGTGGATGTGTTGATGCATGCCCATAATTCCAGCTACTAGGAAGGAAGAGATAGGAAAATTAAAAATTTGAGCCCAACCTGGGCAATTTAGTGAGACCTTTTTCTAAATAAAAAGAACCAGAAGTTAGCTAAGTGGTAGAACACTTGGCCTAACATGAATGAGGCCCCACATTCAAAAAAAGTGCTGTCCAAAAAAGGAAAAAAGATTGTATTAAACATGACCAGTAGGCTGTTGGTGTTGAGTATGGATGCTGGTAAAATCCACTCACACTTCCTTTATACAGGTGTGCAGTCATTTGTATGCTGAGTATTAAGCCTGCCTGAAAAGCTGGCGAGGAGATGCCATGAAAGGAATGGCATGAGGGTACCATGTGTACTTGCTTGGAGGCCCAGGAAAGAGTGTGCAGACATGAGCTAGCTGTGTAAAGTGAAGGTGCTCTTGCCTTGTTGTTGGGTTGTGGGGGCAACAGAGGAGATTGATGTCAGCCCAACTCAAGATCTGAAAGGCATCAGGACTGAGATTGTTTCTGCTCCTGGAGTTTCTGAGGTACTAAGCAAGAGAATCCAAGTGGTCTGATGCTTAATGCTGAGTCAGGGAACTTCAGGACTTCCTAATTTCCATATGTAAATTAAAGATAGTAAGCAATAAATATTTACCAGGTCTTAAAGAACCTGAGTTAACCTTGAAGCCTTCTTGACTCTTAGAAAAGGGCTTTTCCCTTCACTTCTACTTCACTTTTTGACTCTTAGAAATTAGTGTGGTTGAAAAGATGCCAAACATAGGAGTGAAAAATAAAAGTTTGGTCCAGAAGAATAAAAGTTTGGACCCTATAAAGCAGACACATTACTCTGTGCTTGCACTTGAAAATGGGATGCTGGAGTCTAATGAAGTAGCAAGTTGTGTGGTGACATGTCCCAAGGGTGGCTGTGGAGTGGGGCGTCAGAAGAGGTGAAGGACATTGAGGTAGAGATGAGGATGGCCATCAGTAGGGTTGCTGTAGCATTCTCATCGACAGAAGGTGCCAGCCACTTTCTACCTAGGCTTAATTTTAACCCAACTTGGGGGCAGTAAAGAGTATAGAATCTTTTCTGGGACCTTGAACTGTTGTGAGAAATATGGTTAGCAATACATTGCACATACTTAATTTGCTTTCATAATTTTTGTATTATATAATTTTTAAAATTTTTCCCTGCTTATGTAGATAAGATCCAGTCCTCAGGATATGTAGGCAAAAGAAGTTTCATTTTTCCAGTGTAGGCTTATATGGTAGGCTTATTTTTTTCCACAGAAAATCACTATCTTTACACTAACTTAGCTTAGTCAGTCTTTCTTTGTTTGGAACCAATGCAGTTTCAACAATAGGATACAAGGATATAATCATTTTTCTTATGCCTTTTTCCTGTTTTTCATGATAAGGACTGAACCTAGGGCCTTGTGTTTGCTAAGCATATGCTTTACCTCTAAACTATTCCACTAGCCAGTTTCTTTTTCTGTGTCAATAATATCTTTGATTATTAGAGTTTCAGGTACTTAGTTCAACCTATTATAAAGGGGAAGCAAAGCTGCTAATGCTTTGTATGAAAGTTTTATATGAAAAATACCAAACTGTCCTTTGGTTTCTGTGTAGCACTGTATCTTATGTTGAAATCATGAGTTGGAAGCCTCGCAACTCACTGTGAACCTGAAAATTTGTCATTATTAGTATTAGAATGCATTAATGTCTGTTTAAAATGCTTATGTAAACTTTATTATGGAAAATGTTAAAAATATGTCGAATCAAGCTGTATGTTACTCTTTTCAATACCGAATCCCAAGCACATGTTTTTGTATTCATGTCTAAATGGAACCATCGTTATGGGTTCTGGACTCTCTTTAAAGGGAAAAATATTGTCTTGGATTTTTGATGTTAATAAAGTTTGGCATTTGGCCCAGGCATCATAATGTCATTTTGCTGCAAGGCATATTGAGAGAGGCACTTGTGTAGCTGATGCCCACAGCTAACTATGAAAATTAATTAAAGCAGTTGTCTGATAGACCATTTCCTTCCAGAAATAGAACTCATGTACTAAACTGTTGGCACATTTGAACTATTTTTAAATAAAATTCTACACTCATTCCAGTTAAGCTTTATAAGCCCACATTCTCCCAGATGCATAGTGAATGTTTCACTGTGATGTTGAAAGCCTGTAACTTTTCTCCCGACACCAGCATTATGATAGAGTTCAGTGAGACCTAATTTAGCCAAATGTGTATTTTAAAGGGGATCTGTTTTAGTATCATAAATTCCTCTGGAGAAATGCAGATTTAAGTCTAAACTTCTTTATACTTTTCACATTTGCTAATACAGTGTGAGTTGGGTTGAATTTGTTAATTTCTCTCACCTGGCCAAATTGGGGATCCCCTCCACCCAAAACAAGGCATGGTTAGGTATTTGGAAGATTTCTAACTTTGAGATCTGGGGGTGCAGTCTGAAAGAGGAATTAGAGAGAGGTTCATTTTTAGGGAAATGAATTGTTAAAAGTTATTTTAATATTTATTAAAGCAGCAAAGCAGAGTTTATTTGGGATGGTTGAAACAGGTATAAGGGTGATTGCAGTGAGGTTTTTCAGTAGGCAAGAGAGATTGGGCCTGACTTTCAATACAAGAAGAGTATGCATTTATAATCAAGGAGTAGAATGGGGGTCAGTGGATAGCAGATTACAGAAAGGGAACACTGGAGCATATTTGGGGAATTTTGGCAAATGATCTACTAGACTTTTTGCTGAAGGCAGGCCAAGGTCACTTGAATATTCCTGCCCAACAGTGGTGGATAAAGTACATATTCAGATACTGCAGGTGACCAAATATCAAGAATGGGGATTCTGGTTAACTCAGCTTAATAGTGGGTTATAGCTAAAATTGGAAGATGCATAGATAGATTGAGGAGTGTCAGAGTTGAGGCCTAATTGGGAAGAGGATTCAGAGGAGACTAATTTTAGTTAAGGGGAGTCATTGTGAGAACTAGAAGACAGGTTTTATAAAGGCATCTTGAGGTGTCAGAACCTTGTGAAGAGCAACTGCACACTCAGGCTGTGGCTGGTGCTGACTGTGGTTGCCTCTGTCTGAAAGGCAAGCCCAATAAAAGGTGGGTTAGCATTCTTTGGTATAGAGACTCAGTATGACGGGGAAGAGTTAAACAGATTGGGGAAAGTGGAATCTATAATTTGCTAGGACTGTTTGCAGAAAGCTGTCAGCTTTGTATCCTTCAAGATTAGGAGTCTACCTGACAAGTCAGTCAGAGGATTTAAAGATGTATCTTTATGTTTAACTTGCAAGAAAAGATAGGATTTCTACATAAAAAGAAATCTGCTCTGTGCTGCCCAAAGTGTGGTTGGTGTACACAGAAGTTAGAACTCCAGGCTTCTCCCAGACCTGCTGAGTCAGCACTGACTCGGCTAGAGCTTCAGTTCATGTGCGCACGTAAAGTGTGAGAAGCTCTTGTCTGGAGAATGAAGAAATGTTGTTGTGAGGTTGTAGAATTGCAGGAGTTTTCCATGGGGTAATTAGCCCCACATGGTTTGTGACAGGGATTCAGGAGTGAACAAGTGTTCCTGGCTGCTTAGGGCAGAGTCAAGCATTTGTGTTCTGTTTGGAGATTGGGCTGTGTGTTCCTTTAGGTTCTTTCTAGGTCTGGCACCCTGTAAATGTAAATGTGATTTGTAACCAAGATGGTATTTTCTTTTGGATATATCTGTTGCTAGAGGATAATTGAGGCTGGTTCATACTTTCTGAGAACATATATCAAAATGTTATAAGGAAATGTCTCAGAAGTTGGCAAAGCAAGACTGTTTTATTTTGTCTTCAGATTTAGCGATGGTAAAAAAAAAGCTGAATTGATGGGTTTTCTAATTAATTGATAGGAGTACAGACTAAAAACACATGTGTATTCAGCAGTTGGTAAGCTGATGTGGTTAAACATTGTTTTAATCCTCTAAGGTGGAGTTTGTAAATACCCTTTTTGTGTTGCAGATCCTGTCAGCAATCTAGTGAGTCTGTAGGTCACTTCTCAGAACAGTGTTCATTCTCATATATTTAAGCAGGTGGGACTACTCAGAAACCCAGTAAATAAGTACATCCTCAAAATACTAAAGTTTGGAATACAGGAATAAGGATGTGCTTTAATTAATGTATTAATCATCAATATCTAGTTTAATACCTGTTGTGCTTTCAAAATAGTAGCATAAATGGTGTCTCAAGTAACTAAAATAATGTGATATGGTAGTTTTTATTTCTGCTGATAACGTAGAAGTATAACTGTTACTTCTTCACTACTTGCATAATTAATCCAAATTTCATTTAAAAGTGAAAATAAAGATGTAGCAGTTTTTTCTTTCAAGATGAGTGATTGCCTTCTGACTGTTTTCTTTTCTTTTCTTTTTTTTTTTAAATCATTCTAGGACCACATTTTAATTTACTTTGATTGTAAGTTTCTTAGGGATTCTTTGTGGTTTTTACTGATGGCTTTAATTTACCTGATGTTTACTCAGAGGTGAACATTTACTGAATTTGTATTTCGGCTATGAGTTGGGGGTAGGTAGGAGAAGGTGAGGAGAAGAAAACTAAAGTGAACATTCCTGCTTTTAAGTAGGTGGAGAAGCACTTTGTTTTTTAATAAATCAAATTTCCTGAACTATGACTTGAGTTGCAGCTCTTCTGATTTTTGCGTTGTTGCTTATACCTTATGTTTGGGAAACATTAACAAAATCCCTTCTGCTTGATCATGAGTCACCTGCAGTTGTCACTAAGAAACTCTTGGGCTCCTGACTGTCCAAGGAAACTGTGGGTAAATCTTTCTACCCACATACGTGGACCCTTATCAGGTGAAAGTTGGAGAGTATAGTTAGGTATTGCTTTAACATGTGCATAAAGGCGCTTAAACTAGTCATGCTGGTAACCATTTTCATGAGAAGGGATGGTATCACTATATCTTTTCTCTGTTTGCAAGAGCAGTCTTCACCAGAGTGGTCACCTTTGGAGAAAGGCTGTCATTATCAGACTGTTTTCTCTAAGACAAAGTTATACTTTTATTTCACCTGACATTACTGTATTTATATACAGTAACTATTCTGTGAAACCAAAGTCTGATTTATTAACTTTTTTTTTCTTTTTGTTTTTTTTTTTAATCTTTCTATATAGTGCAGGCTGGCCTTGAACTCACTTATGTAGCCCAGTCTGGCCTTGAACTCACAGTGACCCTCCTGCTTCAGCTTCCTGAGTGCTAGAATTACAGGCATGGACTGCCACCCCTGGTTGCTAACTTTTTGTAGATAGAAATACTTATATAAATAGGAAATTCTTTAATATATGTAAAATGTCACCTTTGGAAAAAATAATGTGGTGTACACTATAGGTGAAAAACCAATTTAGTTTTATTATTGTAAAAAGAAAAAAAAAACCTGGTTAAATAAAGATATTGAGTAAAGCCCTGTACATGCACATTTACTTTTCAGGAAGCATTTACATGAATTATTGGGCAAAAACTATCTTCTCAGGTAGATGTTTTGCAGATTTTGCAGTTGAGGAAATTGAGACTTAAGCCAAAGAATATGTCCAACTCACAGAACTGGAGGAAAGCTAGCATTTGCCTCCATGTGTTTCTGAGTCCAGAGTCTATATTTGTGACTGTAATAGCCAAATCTTTAAATCTAAAATGTGGTTATTATGAACTCGATATGTGCCAGAGTGAATTGGCAGGGAAGGAGAGAAGTGTGTGTATGTGTGTGTTTATGCTCATGCATGGCACCCCATCACCTTATTCTTTTATATAATTTTTCATCTTTTAGTGTCTTCTTTGCCATCTGCCACTCCCTGCCTTGCCACCTCCCAGGGGTGTATGCTAGGCCGGATGCATGGCCTCAGCCCTGGAGTCTGTGTGATTCACTCAGCTGCCCTCAAGTGTTGAACCTGAAAAATTGATTTTTATTGTTTATTTCACTTAAGAAGTTTTATTTCTACTATTTATTTGTAATTGGCAGTGTAGAGAAAAGATAATAAACTTGCATTTCTTTTTTTTTATTTTAAAGATAGTAGAATACAACAAAATGAGACAGAACAAAGCTGATCAAGACAATGCAAAATTGGTAAAACTTCAGAGCAGGATACGGGGAAAACAATAATAGCTACCATGGTATAACTTGTTATCTTCACAGTAGTTGTTGATTCCATCAGGTGAAACAGAATCAAACCAAAACCAAAATACTATAAAACCAATCAAAACAGAATATTGAATAGAGCAAAACAATTAATCAAAACAAAGCAAAATAGTGAAAACAATATTGGACTTCAAAGAAAAGATATAAGGAAATCCCCCATATTTGCTTTATTGTATACTGTCATCCTGCAGAGAAGTCCTCAGACTGCTGGCCCCAGGCATGTATAATCAACCAAACTATATAAGCATTTAGTTGCTTTATGTACTTTAGGTATTATCAACTCAGGCTGACCTCAGAACCATTCGGTACTAATGGGTTGTGCGTGCATGCGTGTGTGTGTGTGTGTGTGTGTGTGTGTGTGTGTGTGTGTGTGTTATTCTTAGTCCATTTAGTGGTAAGCTGCTGGGAGGTGCTGACTTTTCACTCCCTGGTGTGTGCATGGCTTGTGCAATTTACCAGGAAGGCTGGATATTTGATTTCTTGGTTGGTCCCCCAAGTCCCAGCGTGGTGGATTCTTGGGAGACGCTGGCCCTTCTCTCTTTGTGCGTGTGCGGCTTGCACTGCTTACCAGGAAGGCTGCATAGTTGATTTCTTAGTTAGTTTCCCAAGTCCCAGCATCAAACTTGCATTTCTTTATAAAGTTACATTAAGTCATTTTTATTTTTGAACTTATGATTCTGGGCTATAAATTTATATACTAACTATAATCTGAGTACTTAGAAGTAATTATTTTAAAATTGTAATCCAATAATATAACTTGTTCATTTAAGGTTATCACAGCATGGAGAGGAAAGAGGCATCAGAGGGCAGGGAACAGTCAGCAGGTATTTATTTAGTACTCACTGGTTGTCTAAAACAGCCTAGTACTGAAGGACACGAACCCTGTGGTTTAGCCTGCCCTTGTGAAGTTGTAGTATGGGAGAGCAAAGATCTTACTCCTCGACAGGAATGGAGATTGCAGCATGAAGTGAACATGATTAAGAAAGGGAAAACCAGGGGGACGAACGGGAAGAGTCACTGCTGCTGCTGCTGCTGCTGCCGCCTACTCAGTCGTTGGGTAGGGTCTAAAGTAAGAAGCCACACCAGACTTTAGTGTAACTGGTATCAGTGTGTCTTGAGTGTAAATTTGGCTGACGTGTGACTTGTGTTCTTGAATCTGTAGAGTCCCCCCACTGACTCTCACCCCACTCTCCAGAAACCCTCAGGTAATTTGCACAGGGGATCGTGCCTTAGTGAGGATGGAAAGTCCAGGTGGCTAAATAGGCCAGGCCTTGGGCTTGCAGAAGGTGATGGTGCTTCCACCATGTTCTGTTGGGACCAAGAAAGAAGCCTTTTGTTGCTCTTGTGTAGGAGGCATCTGAGTCAGTCCACACTAATGCAGCCAAGCATTTGGAAGGATCTGTCCTAGGCCAGCTTTCCCCCTTGCTTTCCTCTTTTTTTGTGGTAGTGGTCTGAGAGATATCTTTTCTTTTCAGTTTGGCAACAGTTGCCTGTGATTTTGCTTTTCTTGGTGTGGTCATTACTCCATGGGGAGCCAGTACCACGTGTTTGACCCTCCTTCGCCTGTCCCTCAACCTCAGTCCAGTCTGGGCCAGAAGCTGAATGCCGTGTTTTTCTCATTTTGAGCACTCATCATAGCTGGCCACTTGTGAGCCAGCTCTGTGTGCGGCAGCAGCTGCAGGGCGTGGAAGCTCTTTTCTGAGGGGAGGATCAGAGCAGCTCCCCAACATGGTACTAGATGTACATTGCAGAGTCCTGCTGACCATTCACCTCAGTGGTCTCTGCAGCTGAGACACTAGGAATGTGACCGTGGACCAGGCTCTGCTGGCTCTTTATTGAGAGGTTTGAATGTAACCAGTGTTAGAACAGAGCCCTGCACACCTTGCACCTTTGCTGCCTGGAGAGTAGCCCATGAAGTGTGGTAAACTTGGTGGGGGTCCAGAACGCTGTGCTTTCAAAGCATCCAGCGGTTCCTGCTTTTTAATAAGGCAAGGTCATGCTCTGCTGTACATTTGAATATATTGCAATAACAGCTAGCTACTCTTATTGCCTGAGTTAACACATTTTGCTTGCTTTATGTATCTGTACAAAATCCTGTTTAAGCACAGGTATAATACATTATTTAGGATAGTTGTTAGAATGGATTAAACTTATTTATTGTAAAATCAATTATTTCAATGTTTATAGTATTTCAAAAATATACTTGTTCTTTAATAGGAAGGTGAATGACTTTTAATAATTAAAGTAGAAGAACATGTATAGACAAATGTGTAAAATTTTTCTCGTGTGAGTTTTTGCTTACAGCTTTGAAAGATTTGATATCATTGACCTTGGTGCTTCAGATTTGGTCTTTGTGCTGTTATAAGGTATGATAGTGGCTGCCTGTCATGTTTTCCTGGTAGCTTTCTCAAAGAGCAGAAATGAGTTTTCGATGAGACAGAGCTCCTTATGATTGTATTCCCATTAGGAGTGAAGCTGAAAAGGCAGAAGGATGGTACACAGAGGTGCGGCAGGAGGCGCTGTCTGCAGCCAGGCAGTGGCTCCCCTTGGCCTGCTGCAGCTGCAAGAGAGAGAGGCTGGGGAAGAGGGGCCGGCTTTAGGAGTTGAGATGATTGTATTTGAGAGGAGTGTGTGACATGTCAGCTAACAGTTTCTAGTGCACAGCTTTATGAGTAGAAACCAACTGTGAAGAACTCAGTTCACTGTCCACAGGGCTATTTGCTGGCACTTTATAGAATAAAAGTTGTATGTAGATAGATCATAGCCTATGATTGGATTAATGTTTGATTTCAAATCCAAGAAACTGATCCACTGAATTCATTGTAGAAGTATTTAAAAACTTGATTTTTAACACCAATGCACACTCCCACACATTAAATAACAAATCAGTGGTTAATCTAGTAGATGCTAACAGGTAAAAATGACTTTGAGTTGAGCTTTATAAAAGTGTGCTTACATTTTAAGTTGTGAAATGTAAATTCTTCTATTTTGATTTCTGGATTTTTTTACTGTACCTTTTAAAAGTATGCATGTTAGTAATACATAATAAGATTTGTTTTGGTGCATTGGTCTGGGATATTTCTGAATGGTAATTAACCCTTTTTTCCCTCTTGCAGAACTGGCTAGATCCTGCAAAAGAAATAAAGAGACAACTGCGAAGTGAGTATTTCAATAACCCTACTTTAAAGTTTCATCTTTCCAACTTTAATAAAATTTATAGGTTATATAACGACTAGAATAACTGAGGACAATAATAGAATGATCCATTGTGTTTTGCAGTTATACCATCTCATACATGAGTGCTAGGTTGTGGTTGTTAATTTTGTACATGGCTTTAAGGACCCTGACATTTGAGGAGGCTCATGACTCCCATTCCTTCATGTTCCTTCTCACTGTGATGTAACATCTCACCCTTTTGTCCCTGCTGGAAAGAATAGGGAGCTGTTTTACCGTAACTTCCATTCTTCATGTGAGAAATCTTGGTGTAGGCAGACCTGACACTTGCTGTGTAAAAAGAGTGCTAAGAGCCATTTCCCTAAGAACTAGCCTGCAGATGCTTGTACTGTTGATTGCATCTCTCTATTATTTCCAATGTCCAGACCTAGAGCAAATCTCTGCTTTCATTCCTGTCCTTCCCACCTCCCTCCAGTCTTTTGCTTTAGAGTCTTTAGTTTTGTTGTCTTTTTCTTTTCTTTTTAATTATTAATCTTAGTCTTATCATTTCTTTCCTTCTCTATTTTTATATTCTGTGCATTTACTGTCTTTTTCCAGTCTCCTTTCCTTTGGACTCATCTTTTTTCTCTTCAAAATGTCTTTAATTGAAGCAGCCAATCTTCCTGGCTTGCCCAGAACTGAGGGTTTCCGAGGTTTGTGATGTTGGTGCTAAGGCTGGAATGGTCTCCGACAATCTGGCAGGTTAGACACCCTATTTTTTTATTACTCCTGACTTTCTGGCATTCATTGCCTTTTTGCCTTTCTTTTCCTGTTTCTCTTCTTTGCATTTTTTATATCTTTATGTTTCCTCTGTTTGTGTTTGTTTCATGCTGGAAAGGGCAAGGGGAGGAAATAAGTGGACACAGGTACATTGTGCTGACATTGTGGGAACAACTGAATCGGAGAGCTTTGGAACTCTTCCTTTTGTCCCTTCTGCAGTTGTGGGTGCCCTGTAAAGTGCATGGATTCAGGAAGGTACAGATATGGGTTCTTACTCATTCTCGGAAACCAGACTTGCCAGAGATCAGAGCGGAGAGAAAACATTGTTGGTCAACTCCTCAGATACGATTGATGTTCCATCAAGTTGTTTTCTATGGTTTTGTTTTACCTCTTATTTTAAGATTATGTGTGTGTGTGTGCCACTATTTCAGACTCATAGATACTTGTGTTGGAAATCTCCTTTTGGAAGAAAAAATTTTAAAGAATTTTGAAGTTTTTGAGAAAAACATTCTAGAAACAGTCTTTGAAAAATTCTTGCAAGGCAAGACTTGCTGATGAATCACGCTTTTATGTTTTATTTGTGAAGTATTATTTTTTAAAGAGTTATTTCAGGATTTTTGTTCTTGTGGCCTGACAAGAGGAGTAGCAGTAACAAATAGCATCTGACTCTAAAACTGTTGAAGGCAGTTCTTTAAATGGTGTGCTGTGCTGTTTCTATTATGAGAGTAGGTTCAGGAAATGAAGTAATAGTTACTGTATTGACTTCTTTCTGCTTGTGTTAGATAGGTGAAGGAATTCAGTCTCTGTTGAGATTTTATGGTTACTTTACAGTTATTAGGCAGTACCAAAGATAAATGTTAATCATTTGAGTTACCTATGGCAATCCAAAAACCTAAAAGTTCCTGTTTAACATATACCTTAGAAGTATTTTCTGAGATGCACAAATAGGATTATATGTCTAAAAGTTTGCATATGATGAATATATGAATAACTCACATCTATCTGGTTTTTTTATATAACTATATAGTATATAATTGAATTTAAAGTTTAATTTGAAAATTGCTAATATTGTATTTTGAGTATTCTTCCCATAAAAGAATAGTATTGTATACATTAACTTGATTTATCCAAGTGTACATCTTACAGTGTGTACATATTTCAAACATGTTGTATACCATAAATCTATATAATTTTGTCAAATTTTTTTTTATTTTAAAGAGGGTAAAACTAAACAGAACAAAACAGAACAAAGTAGATCAGAAGAAAACAGTAAGTCACACAGATTTCAAAGCAAGACAACAGGAGATCTACAGTGGCTACCATAATGTCTCTTGTTTTCTTCTAAATAGTTGTTTCTATCTTCACACTCAATGAATTCATACAAAACAAAATAGTATAAAACTGATCAGAACAGAATAATGAAGGCATTACAGGCCTTCAAACTCAGGAAATAGGAAAATCAACAATGGTTGCCATAACATCTCTTGTTCTCTTCAAAATACCTGTCTATACCTTCATGTATGTTGAAGTTAAGCAATTCAAAACAGACTAAAACTATTCTGAACAAAAAATAAAAGCATTGCTGGATTTCACAGCATGACAATACAGAATTAGCAATGGATACTATAATATCTCTTTTTCATCAAAGTAACTGTTTATTTCATCAAGCATAATATAATGGATTCTCATAAACTGGTTAGAAAAGTTCTATGCATGCATAAGCCTCTACATGTATACGTATCTTTTCTGTATTAGAGAGAAAAACAAAACAGATTGCTAGAAAAACAATAAACAAAAAAGACAAATAAATAACAATAGCAAAGAGCCCAAAACAATGATGGTATAGGCCTTCAAAACAAGGTGGTAGGAATATAACTAAGGTTGTTATTTTACATAGTGATCTTCAAGATCACCATACAAACATGCGAAATTGTTTCAATCTTATGAATGTTAACTGTTTTGTTCCAAGAACTTATAGAATTTGTAGCACAGTCATTTTAGCTATCCTAAGTGTGTTTATACAAATTTAGATATTTTTCTTTTCCCTTCTTTTCCCTGAGATATTATTTTTTCCCCTTTGAGCAGATTCTTACTCTTTCACAGTATTTATTGAGGATTTTGTGTCTTATGTACTCTTACCATTTCTTATACTAGGGAGACAATATGGTATTTACATATGTGAGTTTGATTTATTTCACTTATGAGTATGGTCTCAAATTGCATCCATTTATTTATAAATATCTCAATGTGATCATTCTTTATACCTGAGTAGTACTCCATTATATAAAAATACCGTATCTTTTTTATCCATTCCTTAGTTGATGAATTTTTTAAAAAATTTTTTGGGGCTGAGGCTGTAGCTCAGTAATAGATTGGCTAGTATTCATGAGGCCCTTGTTATATTCCTAGTACTGAATAAACCAGATGTTTACCATTATTGGGTTTTGAAAGTATATCCTAAATTATGTGTTCTAGCAGGAGCACCTATAGTCACATCCAGACAAACGTGTGCTAGTGTAGCTAGTGTTAAAACCTGAAAAAAAAGGAACCATGAAGAAGTGATAATCGTGTGAGACTTCATTTGATTATGGACTAACAGTCACCTTAAAGAAGTACGTGTGCGTGTGCATTGCATGGATATTTGACACAGGCAGCAAAATGCTGTAGGCCAAGAAACAGCATCTCTGTATTCAAGAAGATGCTGTGTCCCATCCCATATTATGCTTTAAATGTGTAAAGCACACTGAGATCTGTTTCTTGAGTTCAGCACAAGTAACTTTATTAGTAAAATAGTGACGATGCATGGAGCCAGAAATCCAGAAGTACATGTGTAGACAGTGGCCATTCTGTAGAAATCTGTTGACTTTTGAGAGAAAAAGTCTTGTGCTAATATGACAAAACGACAGAAGGACATAGTGAACAGGAGAGCAGAGTTCAAGAAACTTTGAAGTCCATAAATTAAAGTTCCCATGCAGCCTTCAGATATGTGTAGAATGAAATAGTTTATGAGACAGCTTTTTTGTTTTTATTTAAAGGCAGTGAACTTTGAATGGAACTTGAAATTCAGACTAGTGGGATTATTTAGGTTGTTTTAGGAAAATTGCTTCAACCTTCTCCTTGTGTTTGTGTTCCTGTCTTTCAAGCCAACCAAACTATGAGATAGAAAACATAATGAATTTTAACTTTTAATATCATTCATGATGTGATTATTGGATATATTCGTTCTTTATGCTCAATATAGCAAGGTATATGTAATATACAAGTATATTTATTTACACTTCATAAAACTGGAAAATAATTCTATTATTTTAAAGTATTCTGAAGTTTTGCTGCACGTTTTCTTCTATATGATCTTTGAAGTTACCCTATTAATCATTTCCTGCATAGCTACTGTGGTCACTTACTCTTTACTGCCCTTCCCCCAACAATGTAGAAATTCTGAGTTTGTATGTTTTTTATTTTTCAAACAGTGTAGAGTTGAACACTAGAGATCATATGCTTAAAATAAAATCTTATCTTGGAACTATTACTGGAGGTTATATTAATTCTTTTGCATAATGGATCACCATACAAAACATTTGTTGACATGCTGGTAATTAGTAATAAAAAATGACTTGTTCCCTTTTAATGATGTATTTATGAAATTGATTTCTCTTTTATTTTTCATTTCATTTTTGCTTCATATGATATTAGCTTCCTTTTAATAAAAAATTCTTCAAACTGATTTATGATGTGATAGGTAAAATATCAAAGCAAGTAGTGTAGTATTATTTTTTTGTGGTATATCAAATAGTCATTCTGTTGTTTGGATAAATAACCATAATATTTAATAATTACAGATCTTCCCTGGCTATTCACTTTTAATGTGAAATTTTATCCTCCTGATCCTTCTCAACTGACTGAAGACATCACCAGGTACTTTATATTTGCATTTAAGAGTAAATCTTTACTTATAGCTTTCATTGATTTCTGTGCCCTCAGAACATGATGGTAATTTCAAGATTGAAAAATCAAATCATTTGTAAGTTAAGTTTTATAAGTTTCTTTGGAAAACCTATCCCAAATACCTTGAAATGTTGCCAGTTTCAAAAATTTTATTCATTGTTTAGTTTTTCTCTTTATACTTTAATAATAAAAAATAATTTAAATGACAGTATTGCTAACAACTTTGTTTTCTATGTTCTACTTTAAAAATGAACCCATATTTTATATTTCAGATTTTAGTACTAAAGTGATTTTATTGTATAAACCATGTGTGCTTGTGTACTAGTCTCATAAAGATGGCTCAAGTGTAAATAAATGTAAAAAATTTTAAAAGTTGAACTGGGAATAGTTTCATCCTTCTACCTCCCTTATCCGTCTTCCCGTTCTGCCTAAAAAAATTCATGAAACTAAAAGGGCAGACCATTGTAGGTAGATTCAGTAGCTATTTCATTTTCATCTTCTCTGAGATTACGTGGCTATAAGAACGTGTGCTTAAGTTGCAAACAAAGGGTTCAGTTGAGGAGTAAGAGTGACTGGGAGAGTAGAGTGGTAACCAGGGACAGGGGATCTTAGCCCTGTGAGACTGTGAGCCCTGATAGGGGGATATTTCAGCTTTGTCAGGAGCAAGAGTAAAGAGTCTTTCTTATTCGCATGGCCAAGGGGAATTGTGTGGGGGTGTATGTACTTGGAGAAAACTAGTAGAGTCTCAACTCATTTTACTTCTTTTTCCCTGGGCTTTGATGCTTTTCTGCTGGGCCGGTTTTGTTGTTAGACATCAAATTGTGTAAATGCTGAAAAAAGTGTAATGTTTATATGAGGTAAGAATGAGATTTCTTTCTGGGATTAGAAAAATAGCAAACTTTTTTCATTTTGTATTTTTTCCCTTCTTTCTTCCTTTACTGTTTGCTACTGAATAGAAGTGTGCTATAGTACCAATTAATCACTACTATTAAACATGATAATTAAGCTCCGATTAAATTAACTTCAGCTAGTAAATAGTAAGTAGCTTTTGAAACTGCACAGTTTCTTAGAGCATGCAAACACTGTCAGGCTGGCTGCACAGGACAGAGCTTCAGGGTGCTTTTCACACAAGGCAGCACATAGTAGGGCCTTTTGACGTCATGCGCGCTTTCCGCACGTACTCTTCTCCTTGCAGTAATGTGTTTGGGGACTGTCTTACTTTTCTTGTTGCTGGGACCTGACACCCAAGGGTTAAAGGAGGAAAGGCTTGTTTTAGCTCCCAGTTTGTAGCAGTTTCAGCCCGTAGTCATCTGGCTTTCAGGCAGGGTGGTCTGCAGAGAGGTGTGAATGAGAAGAGACAGCTCATGACAGCAGGCTGGAGACAGTGAAACAGCAAGCAGCAGTAATAGCAAGCCTGCCTGCCTTTATTTCCCTTTTTCCATCTAGGTTATAAACCTATTGGTTGGTGCCACCCACACCCAGGGTGGGGCTTCCACTCTCCACACCCTCAATCCCACTATCATCACACCCTTGATCCACATTCACGGACCCTAATCCAGCCACTTTTGAAACTTTCTGCCCATGAGCTCATTGAGCCTTTGGGGGGATATCTAGATACAAGCCATGACAGGTTGACCATCTTTTGTGATTGCAACTTAAAAAAAAGTATGGGGATATAGCTCAGTGTGAGGGCCTTGGATTTACTCTCTAGTACCAATGGGGCAAGAATTACTTGCTATCATGAAAGGAATGAGAAAGACTGCTGTACTGACTAAAAGGTGTGTGCTGTATTTGGGGCCAGGCATCCTGGATGCCAGGATTAAAATCTTGGCTGTGAATATTTAGAAGGTGGGATAGGCTTTTGAGGTGGTGCAGAGCACTACTGAGAATAATGTTTGAAGAATGCTTTCTTACGACATTTGACAAATATTGGGCTAAGAAATTCAGATGCTTTTCGTGAGTTTTGTAGGACTTACCTTTGAAAATAGAGGGAATAAGAGACAGTGATGCAACGAGGAGCAGCAGGATGGAATTTATTTAGGTTCTCAGTGCCACAGTGTAGAGAATTAACACAATCATAGCTTAGAGAATTTGAAGATAATTGGAATCATAGTTTAAAATTCAGTTTGCTAAAGTACAGTTGTGCTTTTGTACTAGAGTCAAGGAAATATAATCATTCTTTAAAAAGACAACTCCTGTAATGCATAAAAATACTTAGACTATTACCCTAAAGAGAAAACTTCATTAAACTCTTAGAAAATGATTGAACATTTGTCAGTACTTTGCTAGCTGTGGGACTGTATGACGCTAACTAGAGTCCCTGCCCTTTCTGAGTGGTAATTCAGGTGTGAGTGAACTACACTGGAGCCATGGGGTGGGATTCATTCATAGCAAGACCTGGGATATGTTGGTAGAGAGCAGCAAGATGCCTGGGACTTAAAACCTAAAAAGGGAAAAATCTCCACAGGAAGAAGGTAGCCACTAGAAGTGACAGCATCCAAGAAAATCTTCAAGAATGAGGATTCTACCATTTTTTCAGAAAACTTAATGTAGACCTTAGTGTAAATAGTGAAACGAGAGTAGAAATATGTCACCAAAGGCAGTTGATGGTAGGGCTGAGGAGAAACAAAAAGTCTCCATCCATTGTAAATCCTGCTTCTGTGTATTGCTTTAGTGGGGAATGACATCCTTTTATCCCTGTATAGTCAGCTGCTTGGGTCACTGAGAAATAGCTGTTGTTTTCCTAGCTACTCCCTATGGATTCCCAGGCATTTTATTTATATTATCTTTTACTCTCACTTTCAAAGGAAGGTAAGGCTCATGTTCCACCCACCCCCCAACCCCCTTTTTTTGAGCTTTTCCCTTTTAAAAGGTAGCGAAGTAGTGTCAGGCCGGTAAATTAACATGCTCCCAAAGAGTCAGTCAGTTCCTCCAAACTTTAGGCCTTTTTCTGCAGAATGGAGCCTACTGCTTCTTCAGATAAGTAAGTGGACAAGCAAGGGCTTCAGAGTACATTTAATGGAACTTGTTGGTAAAGACATTCCAGGAAAGAAAGAAATTTCAAATGATAAGACTACAGTAATTTTTTTTTTTTTCTGATTTTTTGGGTACTGGGGATTGAACTCAGGACTTTGGGCTTGGGAGGCAGGCATTTTGCCACTGAGCTAAATCTCCAGCCTCAGGACTACAGTGATTTTTCTATTTCATCAATATTTAAAACTTTTAAGAAGTGTACACATTCTTTCACTTTTAACTTTAAAAAGACAGTTGAAGTGATTGAAATGCTTACATTAGTCAGAAAACTTGATTTTGGTATTCAGTCAGAATAAGTACTATCAGGATAGTAGTTCAGAATTTCCATTTTTTATTTAGCCTCTGAATGTAGTTTATATAAAAAAGCTACAAGCTTAGGAATTCAAAAAGCAAGGTCAGGCTTCTTATTAGAGAACATGGCTTTTGCTGAGGGTATGAAGGATGTCTATAATGTATGTTGGTTCCTGAAGGAGTAATAGAATGTAAGGGATCTGAGTGACAGTGGTGTGTGCTCTTCTGACCTTTGCTCTGTCTGCTCCTCACAGATACTTCTTGTGCCTTCAGCTGCGGCAGGACATCGCCTCTGGCCGCCTGCCTTGCTCCTTTGTGACTCATGCCCTTCTGGGATCCTACACACTGCAGGCTGAACTTGGAGATTACGACCTGGAAGAGCATGGCAGTGTTGACCTCAGTGACTTCCAGTTTGCCCCCACCCAGACTAAGGAACTGGAAGAGAAGGTGGCTGAGCTGCATAAAACCCATAGGTCTGTCAACTTGCTTGCTGGAGAGCCTTATCATGGCAGATTTAAACAGTTTGTAATGCTTAAATTTGAGTACTGTTTTGAGGGTTATCCAGTTTCTCTTTTAGTATGTCACCCAGCACTGATCATGACAGCTTCCAGCTCTTGTGATAACCTTTCAGTGATTTTATGATTATAATATGAAGGTAAATGTCTCCATTTTTTGGAAAAAATATAGTTTTCCATATGACGTGTTCTTCTCCCTTTCCCCAGTTCCAACCTTTACCACACACATATTCAAGAAACAAATATACCACGTATGTGTTTTGATATTTATATTTCTTCTGTCTTTGTTCCCACTGTGCTTCATAAGAGAGCCAGAGAAACAATGAAGCACTGAGATTTGTACTAGACATACGGGTGATGGTGGGTAGATAGTAACTGAAATGTACAGGGGAGTCCACTAAACCCAGGTGAGTGTACTAAGCTGCCCCTTGGTTAGGTAGGAATAACGTAAATTACTTTAATGCCATGGGCACTTTATATACTTTTTTCAAAATCTCTGTGAAAACAGATGTTTTCCATGAGTTTTTATAATGCTAGCTACAAAATTCTAATTTGTTCAAAGTCTTGCAAAATTGTAGTTTTACAAAATACTGACTAAAATGACTTGAAAAGAACTCTCAGAGTTTCAGAAGTTTTCAAACAGAGGCCATATTTATTAACTTGTAAAAAATAACACACTATTTGACTCTTAAATATTGTTTCATTTGCTTTATATAAATTCTACTCAACTAGTATTGTATAATTGTAGTTTGAAATGTCAAGTGCTGAAATGCCTTAAAGAATGAGGACTAATGAGACATAATCTTGCCCTTTAGAAAACTAAATTGTGCTTAGTTAAGGACATAAATTGGAGTAGAAATAAGTTTAGTATGGAAAGGATATAACATATGTTATCTATCATAAGTGTAAAATCAAATACAAGTAATTCTGGCCTTTATGAAGATCAGTCCTAGCAGAGGATATGAATGTATACCTCAGAAAGAGGAAATCACTATTTTATTCCTTGTTACATTGTACCTGTTATTGCTAGGGCTTTGTTCCAGTGGAAATGATGCAAAAACCTCTTTAAAAAGAGTAAGGGTGAAAAGTGAGTCTCCTTGCAGGTTAGGGGCTTTTCAGGGAAAATTTTAGGGTTGAAAGTATTCTGCTTTTCTTTGCTTAGCTGGGTTACTTTCTCTGCCTCAGACTCCCTAAGCTAACACTTCTCTCATTTTGAGCACATTGGCTCTGCATCTAGCAGTAAGACAATAGTGTTTCTTTTGGTTTTTCAGAGGCCTGTCTCCAGCACAAGCGGATTCTCAGTTCTTAGAAAACGCAAAGCGGCTTTCCATGTATGGTGTGGATCTGCACCATGCCAAGGTACTGTAAGTGTATTGGGAAGTAGCACTGTTCCAGTCTATTGATTGGAGCCTGATCAAGGGTGTTTCACTTCAAAGCCTCTGTAATGTTTCTTTTCTCTTTTAATCTTTTTTAATTAAAAATTTATAATACTAAAAGATACATTGCCATTAACTCATCTCAAAATGCTCCTCTTGCCTTGAGCACATTTATCCCATTGTTCTTGCCACTTTCTGAAGCAGTTCTGGAAGTCTTCTTTCATGACAGTCAGGAAACAGTTACCTTTCATGGTGATTTGGACTTTGGGGAAGAGCCACAGATCACAGGGTCTGGAGAATGAGGTGGTAAGGACAATTGTGATGTGTTTTTATAAGCCTGCCTTTCATTGAATTGTGCTTGACAGCAGTATTCACCATATATTTAAAAAAATTTTAATAAGAACCTATTTGTGAATACATTTACTATGGGGAGTTGATATATATATCATTTTAATCCTTTTTATTTTTCTTTCTACTCTTTTTCCTCAACCTCTCTTCATTCCTAGATCCCTTTTCTATTTTTAAAAGGTCTCTCTCCTATTGCTAGTTATAATAATTGTTTATACTTTGGATTTCTCGTATCAGAAACCATGTGCTATTTAACCTTCTTTATCTCATTTATTTCACTTAGCATTATGTCCTCAAGGTACTCTCATCTTCCAACAAATAACTCAAATTTATCCTTTTTTATGACTATTACTCTGTTGTTTATATACATTTTCTTTATTTGTTCACCTGTTGATGGACATATAAGCTGCATTCAGTATTTAGCTGTTGTGAGTTGTGCTGACCTTGAGAGTTATTTCTGTACGTGATTCACTGAATCTTGTCATTGCATTGTTTTTCTAGATCTGATTTCCTTCCTTTGTTTCCTTTTGCTTACTCCTCCAATTTATGTCCTCCATAAATTGGTGCTGTTGACCTCCATGTCTCTCTGACTCCCTTAAAGTATTTTCTGCAGTGCTGGTTTAGTGGCCATACTTTGTTTTGCTTTTCTTTGTCATAGGAAGCTGTAATCTGAGGAATCTCAATCCTGGGACACCCTGGCCCTGTCTTTTTATGCCAAGGATGCTGGGGCAGGTGCATTCTGGGTGGCACAGAATGCAGCTTCCTGGTGGTGGGTGGCTAGCTGGTGTCTGTGCTCCTGCCCTGGGCTTGGTCACCTCCCCCTGAGCATGGCTGTGAGCCACCTGCTGGGCTGGCCTCCAGGGATCTGGGTTTGGATCCATTAGCCTGGTTTACTGCGGTGGATGTGGCAAGGCCATGGTTTTCTGTCTGGGCTTCCTTCCTCCTTACCATCTGCCTCCAGAGATTTGGTATCTTCTACAAGTAGTGTGTTTACTGACACTAAGCTGGATGCCAAGTAGAATCAGAGAAAAGACCCTGATTTTCCCTCTGGACACTCCTAAGGCCGAGCATTGACTGGACTGTGTTTGTTGTTGTTGTTTAGGTGTTTGTTTTGTCTTGTTTCTTAATTTTATTTCCGTGCTGGGTTTTTCTTTCATCACTGCTTCTGAGCACCTGCAGGTCCTGGTGACCTCTAGAGTGACATGTGAGTGCTGCCAGCTCATTCTGCCATCCTCCTCCCCTCTGTGCTGTTTTCTTGGTGACTAGTTCTGATGTTCTTGGTTGTGGGAAGATCGGTTATTGTCCCCATACCTCTTTGTCTCTTCCCAGGTGCCTATTAATACCTTCTCTAGGTATTTATTATAATACTCATCTTGGCAGCCTTTTTATCCTTATCCTCTTATTCCTGGGTGGTTCTGCGTCACACCTTCTGCTAGGCCAAGGGCTGCTGCTCTCCAGCTCCCTCTTCTGTTTTGGGAGAGGAGACCAGATCTTAGTAGGAAAAAAAAAAAAGGTGAAAGTAGCACAAAAGAGATGTCCAGAGGGCTGGCTAGAGAGAAGCCACCATCACAGGTACACAGTCCTGATGCCACCCCCAGCCGGGGATCTGAGTGTTAAATACCGTGGCCTGCCTTCCCTTCCTCTGCCCAATCCCATGCAGAGCCTTTGGTGTGCTGAACCTGCTCAGAAGCCAGCAGACACAGGATTTCTTGGTGTCCTCATAGAGGCTTCCAGAGGGGCAGCAAGCACACCAAGAGAGGCTCTTCTCTCATGGTCTTGCTGGCTCTCCTTGAATAGTGTCACTCAGATGTGGAGACGTAAGGCGTGCTCCTCTTCACCTCACAACCCTTGTCTGTAATTCCTGTTCACAAAAAATACTGGTAACTCTAGAACGGCTACTGTTTGCGAAGCAACCCAAAATCAACCAATTTACTTGAATCTCAGTGGTATTTATTTTTAAATCGTGTAAAATAACTTCCTTGTCCTGCCTGAAGATTGCTTCTGACCAGACATGCCCTGTTCAGTGTCTTCACTGTGGCTCCCTTGTCTTTGGGAATGTGTTATCTCGGGCCATCCCTTGCCTTGTTTCTCTGGCCATGAGAGTCACGTTCTTGGCAAATACACCCTTTGGCTCTGGTACCAAGTTGCCTGAGCACCTATGCCTGATTCATACTGGCTTTCTACACTTTTCCTTGAGGGTGTGAAGGCTGCCAGGGTAAGAGTAAGTAAAGTGTCATATAGATTCATTTTTTAACCTGCTCAGTTTGGTCCACTGTAATTTCGTTGGTGCAGTTATATATGGATTCTTCAAGTATTCCAACAGAAAGAAATTAATATCAGTTGCCTGGTCCTATACTTTAATGATTGTAAATTGCGTTAAATTTTGCTTAATTATAAGTCAGTCAAAATGTTATGCTTTTCTTTTGTATTGGGACTTAAACTAAAGGTGATGTCATTCCAGCATTTTTTTGGTGAGAATTTGTCCCATGTGAATGATTTTTGAAAATGTGGCTATGGATAGTACTCTAGTATGGATAGTACTTTAAATTTTACATGGATATATACATTTCTCCTCTGAACGATAGTGATTTGTGTATTTTAAATAGCATGTATCTTAGATATTCAGTACTGTTTGAAAAATTAGATAGCTTTCACTTTTTATGTAATTATTTGGTTTAAAAAATTTTTCATGCTCATGATTATTCTAGATTGTTGTATATTTCAAATTAAAGCTCAGGGAAAAAAACTACTAGTAACTTCAAAAATAGTCTGCAGCCCTTTGAAATATGCCAGTCAAAGGAATGCTGAATGAGAACTGGATGTCAGCACTCTTACATTACTGAAAGATTGGCTGAAAGAATTTCTGAGATTTCAACACTTTTGGCCTACAAGAAAAATTTTCTATGAGGATTGTTGTTTTGCAAATCATAGGCATCATTTTACCAGCTACCAGCTAGCATAATCCATCTGAGGTAAATTTGTATATACTAAAATGGTGGACTGCACTTTAGAGTAGGCCAGTAGACTGTCCCTGAGGGCTGAAATATCCTCTAGGCAAACATTTTTATCTTTCCTATCTTCAAGATATCTAAACCCAGTTCTGTTTCTTTCTGTTCTTTTTTCCCTGCTAACAACTTCATAGTACTTGAGAATATAAGAAGTTATGGCTTCTGAAAAATAGTGTAACTTATAGTCATGTTGCAGTAATTATTTGGCAAGTCAAATTCATCCCTGAAGACAAACAGATATTTGTGTGTGTGTGTGTGTGTGTGTGTGTGTGTGTGTTACTGGTGCCATTGACTCATGTAATGCCACTAAAATTTAAATACAAACTTGTTTCCATTCTCTGTTGTGCTTTGAGGGGCCAATTAGCCCCTGATCTGTACTACTATTCTTAATATCTCTAACTGTGGTCAAATGGATTTTGCTTGGCAGGACTCAGAAGGTGTGGACATCAAGCTGGGTGTGTGTGCTAACGGGCTTCTCATTTACAAAGATAGACTGCGAATCAATCGTTTTGCATGGCCGAAAATCCTGAAAATTTCCTATAAACGCAGTAACTTCTACATTAAAGTTAGACCAGCAGAGGTAAGCAGAGTACACGTAGCATATGTACTCAGCAGTGCTCTCCTTTACTAAAGGACAGGTTGGTGAATCCTTTTCACTGAAGTCTTAAGAAAATGAGCCATTCTTTATTTTTCTATGATAAAAAGTCAGGGTTCTTGATACACCTGCATATGCAGATTCTTCTTGTTAAATCCATAATACTACCACATCTTGCACAAAAAAAATACAAGCCTTACACATAGTGTGTCTTTGGTTATTCTTGTTGAGTCATTAAGTGGTGATCAGTAGAAGGGTGCTTAAGAGTTCTTACTGTTTGAAAAGTGAAGAGTAGTTGGTTTGTGTGAATAGTTAAGACTTGCTTTTCATGAACAACACTGTTACAGTCTATGAAAATTCATTTGGTATGATTTTATTAGCTATATTAATATTTACCTTGGTGAAGAGGAATTACTTCTTACAGAAGCAATTAATGCATGTTTATTGATAGCTTCTTGCCAGTGTCTTAAGGAAGTCTGCTAACTTATTTTATGGACTCTTTGTAGCTGGAGCAGTTTGAGAGCACCATTGGATTCAAGCTGCCAAACCATCGGGCAGCGAAAAGGCTATGGAAAGTATGCGTGGAGCATCACACTTTCTACAGGTAACATTCTCAGACCATCCTGGCTTTGCTGTTGGTTCTCTGTGTAGATTGGAGCATGGCAGATGCATTAGCACCTGCCTAGGTTCCTTATTCTTGGTATTGCATCTCCTCTGTCATGTGCAGCCTGTTCTCTGTCCTTTTCGGTTGCCTAAGGTCATGCTGTGAGCTGCTTGCCGTTGTCCAGCTCCATCACACTGCCCCTTGCCTGCTGCCTTACTGCTACTCTTCTGAGTCTTGATTTAAGTAGATGGTCTTATCAGCCTCCCCCCCCCCCCGTTTTGCTTCTTGTCCAAACCAGCCTGAACCCTGTGGTCTGTCCTGCAGGCTGTTTCGGTAGGGGTGTTGAACAGCACCCCCTCAGCCATGTTCTTTCCTTCATTGTACATCTGCCTGCCCCATCTGCTGGTGCTACCCTCGCCAGTATCTGTGCCATCAAGTGCTGCCTTAAGTATTCCTTATGACAGAATAATTGTAATACAGCTGTATGGATTGATGCTATTACCAGATAATTTCCAACCTTGGCTAGATCCTCACTTCTGGTCATTGCAACTGCCTCTCTCTGGCATGCATAGGGCCCTAGGTTCAATCCTTAATATTTCAAAAAAGAGAAAAAAATGAGGAAGCTGTTTGATGGATTTAATCATAAAAGGTGCAGATGGCTTTTTTTGCCACCAATTCTAAGTGCTATATAGGGATTAATTCTTTTAATCTTTATAATATGTCTATGGGACAAGGGCTATCATCTTTCACACAGGAGAAGCTGAGGAACAGAGAAGTTGAGTAGCATGCCCTGGTCACGTAGGTAATAGCCAGTGCAGTTAAAGTGCATACTGGTGCTCAGGGTGTTGCTGTGCTATGTTGCCTGGTGGCATCTATCCTCAGTGTGTGTCCTTGGATTTCCCATTGCTTCCTGCTCCCAGAGCCTTGAGTGCTCTGGGCAAGAGCTGTGGCCTGAGTTAAGCCTCCAGCCTGTTGTTTTTCTTGTAGGCTCATAAACAAGAGATAAATGCAAAGTTCTTCCAGCTTGATAATAAGCTGTTACTTAAACTTGGTATCAGAGTAATCCCGGGTCTTAATGTCATCTGCTGTGTTAGAGAGTGTCACAAAAGCCTATGTCCTTGCTGTGATTAACTCAAGTCACTATTGTGTGGAGGGCTTCTTAAAATATTCCTTTTTTTCTATAGATAAATAATGATACTTCATACAGGGTTTTATAAAATTAAAATGTTTTAATCCTGCTTAAGCAGCAAAATATTTAAAACTTGAATTTCTTTGACATATTATTACTTAGATCTTTTGCTCAAGATCTTTAATACTCTGTAAAAGTTATTTCTTTTATGTAGTTGTTATATTCTCAAAATGATGTATGTCTTGTAGTGCTTTTCATGTTATTGTTATGAAGATGGGGTCATGTTGCAGGTCTTGATGTGGAGAATAACAGTAATATTAAAAGGAAATAAGAGATCGTGATGTGATAGGATTGAAATATTTCCTTGCTTGGCCTACACTTTCTAAGAAAATTTATTTCTATCACCTCTGACTTAAATCACCAAAGGAATTTTTTGGAGGAAGCTAATAAATGTCTAGTGTTCCATTCTTTTTTGTTTTGTTTCCACAATTAAGAATTTCTTTGTCATCAAAAATTATAGGTAAGCTAATAATTTTGATATGTGATCACTAGTGTCAGGTAGAACAAAAGTATTTCACATCAATTTAAAATAATGTAAAAATCTATGTAGTTTTTGACTTTTTTTTTGCATTGTGGTATATATTTGACTTTTAAATGTTTTCCTTATTTTTTTGGATTTCTTTCTTTTTTGTAAAATATCTTCTACAAAATAATAATTACATACAAAGTGATTATTATGATATTAATAGATAATTATTTTGATACACATTTAAATGGCAATAATCAATTATCTGACCATCACCTTAACACCAATTTGACTAAAGAAATAGTAGTAGTATATAACTCTTCTTACCTGAGCTTAACTATTGGGCTGGTTAGCTTTATAATGCAGCCAATAAAATGGGTGGTTACCTTCAGAATTGGGAGAAAACCCACAAGAAAACGAGCAACTCCATTTAAGAAAATGACTGGTTTTTTTGTTTCATTAAACTAAGACTCAACTTTTCTCTAGTAATTTTTGCAGTGTGTATGTGTCATAAGTTGCGCGGCTTATATTCTTTAGGGCCATCGCTTTTTGACCTTTTGGCAAGATCAAGTGTAGTATTCTTCAGTGCAGTGACTATGCAAATGAGCAAAGGAAAACTGCAGAGCTGGTCACAGTGCTGGTTGCTGGTAGTGACAACTGCCAGGAGGGTCACAGCTCATCAGTTTGGGATCAGCCTAAGATCACAGCAGGGCGTAAGAGCGCGGGGCAAGGGAGAGGGAGAGAACACCTTTAGGAGGGTAGGCATGGTGACAGGTTGGCTTCATGTTGTGTGGATGCTGCAGTTTAGGTGTTCTCATGTAGTACAAGGTAAAAGTGGACAATAGAAGTCCTCTTTGTGTTTATCACCTGCCATATAAAGGTTCCAGCATAGATGTGTGAAGTTGCATAAAAGAATAATCGGAAAGCAACAAAGGTTTTCTTAATTTTTTTCACAATTTTTTTCTGAAACAAATTTTCAGATCTTTATAGAAAATTCAGTTCATTTTTTTTAAAAGAAAAGAGTTATTTTTAAAAAGAACCTTTTACATACATATTCTTTATAATATTTTCCTAATTCTAAAAACACAGGCATCCTGTTTCTAATTTTAAATTTTGTTTTGGGTATTTTCTTTTGGGTTATCAAGTATGTGTTTTCCATTGAACTATTCTTTGAAAAGTTGCCATTTCCTTTAGTTGCTGACTCAGAGTATACTTTATGAATAGTATATTTCTCAATTGCTGCCTTGATGAGCTTGTCAGAGGTGCCCCTCTCTTTCTTACAGATCGTCACTATCTTACAGAGAGCATCCTTAGATCCTAATTAGCTGGATTGCTAGATGTGTAAGCCCAGAGTAAACTTACCAGTGACAGTGCAAGGCGAATGACCACATCTTCCTGCCTCTGTTATTTATGATTCGAATGCTGGGCCTTTTAACTCTCTGTGCCTCATTCCTCAAATGGTAGAGAAAGAATTCAAAACATGGGTTGACTTCTTTTTGGGGGTCCAAACTTCTAGTATTCTGACATTTTAATTTAGTTATGCAACTTTTACCAAAGTACAATTTAGGGCACTGGAAGTGTCACACTGTAGTTACTCAGCAGTATTATCTATGTCTCCTTTGAAAATCTTTTGGCAGGAAATGGAATTTTCAAGAAACACTTCTGCTTCTATTGAATAGATTCTATTCCATGAATAGATTTAAGCCAACAAAGCCAGAAGTCCATTAGTGCTTTTATCAGTTTAATTCAGACATTGTGTTTTCTGGATGAATACTGTTTTGAGAATCTTGAGTTGAAGAGGAATTGCTTCAAATTCATCATGTTGACTTGGATCTCTTTATTAGTCTAAGCAGAGTGAAATTTCTAAAAAAAATGTACAGAGATCTTGAAATAGTTGAAATGATACATAGTTTTTAAGAATTTATTTCCTTGGAAAAGTTTCAGTTGGATTCTGCATACTCTTGAATTGTCAAGTAAAGTTAATAAATTGTTTAAGAGCTCTAAGATTATTTTTCAGCTAAGATTCTCATCAACTCTTGATAAAACAATAAAAACAAGACAGCTTTATTCGTATTCCAAAGAAGATTGGTTTATTTACTGAAAACATGTTTTGGTGAAAGTCTGAAAGTATTTGATGTTATGAACCTAGGGTTCACACAGAATTGTATAAGCAAGAAAGAATGTTGGTCATCTGTGTGGATCCCCTCTGTGTGCTATGCTTCATGGGAAAGATCCTTTGATAGAACAGATTCTTGACATAGATGATTTTTCCCAGGAGAAATAGGCATAAATATTAAGAATTACTAATGGTAATGGATTGCTACTTGGCACTTAGACCTAGGAGCAAAAGTTTAGACATATGTGTTTGTATAAATGATTTACACTATTACAGATAAGTAACTTGATGCACACTGAGAACAGCTGTTCTTGTGCTCAGGTTGAGGAAAAACAGTATTCATGAATACATGAATGTAATTTATACATCACCATCAAAAAACTATGTGCACAGGAAGGTTTACACATAATGTTCTTTTCATTATAAAGTTTAACATTTTTGAGCAGTCATACTTAAATAAGATATTACAATATGAAGTTCTAATTTTTGAATTAAATAGTCTAATTGTATTTTTCTCCTCTTTACTCTTGTAGGCTTGTGTCTCCAGAACAGCCACCAAAGGTCAAGTTCTTGACCTTGGGGTCCAAATTCCGCTACAGTGGCCGCACCCAAGCACAGACACGCCAGGCAAGCACCCTCATAGATAGGCCAGCACCACATTTCGAGCGCACCTCTAGTAAACGAGCCTCTAGGAACTTAGATGGAGGTAAGCACTATGATTAATTTCAGATTGCATTTGTCTTTCTCTAGTCTGGTGAGGCCAGAAAATGTTGATCTAGTTAACAAGGCCACCAGAAATCTCTAGAACAGTGGTGGCAAAACTATGGCGTATGTATTACTTGTTTTTAAGACACAAGATGTTATTGTGTAAGGTGATTTTTCTTAACTAAACCCTCAGTATTCAGGTTTAATAGCAATATTGTCACTTTGTGATAAATAGATGGATTTTGGTTTGCAGTTTGAGCACTCATCTGTAAAAGGTTTGCCACTGCTTTATCAAGATAACCATTTATTTCTGAGTAAATAAAGCCTTATTATATGCAGAATAAAATAATTTTATAGTGTTGCCAAGTTGTCATTTCAATCATTTTTCTTTGTATTTAGTGCACACAAATGTTCTTTATAAAATTTTACGTTTATGAGATGTTGGAAGAACATGTTATTGATTTGGCTTTTATATAAATTTTTAATCTTGTTAATGACAAAGTGTAATTTTAAAGTTTTTTAATGTTAACATACAAAATTTAACTGAATTTAAACATTCCTAGCATCATCAAATTTTGAGTTTGAAGCCTAGTAAGCCACATAATTGTAGTTTTTTGTTGGCATATCTTTGTGATACATAATAATTACCTTCACTTTGGAGAATGAGTATATATACATATCACATCTTGATCATTTTTACTTTCCCTCCTCACTTCCCTCTGCCCTTTTCCAAACGAAAGTATTTAAGAACTGAGTAAGGTACCACTGTGGTAAGTTTTTCATAAAGACAAGCCATGCGATATTAAAGCTCGAGTATCTGAGTTACTTCACTTAACATTATGATCTCAAGATACATTCTTTTTCCACAAATGACTCATTTATGCTTTATGGCAAATTAGTAGTCCATTGTATATAAATTCGACATTTTTTTCTGTTGATGATTCATTTATCTGTTGATAGGCATATAGGCTAATATCCCAGGATTTAGCTGTTGTGAATTGTGCTGCTTATAAACATAGGTATGCATAAATTGGTATGATGTCTTTTGGAAGATACCTAGAAGGGAATAGCTTGACCACAGGAAATTTCTAGTTTTAGTTTATTGAGAGATCTCCTACTGACTTCCATAGTGGTTTTTATCAGTTTACAGTTCTACCAACAGTGGAGAGGGTTCTTTTTTCCCCAGAGCCTTGCCAGCATTTGTTATTGGTTGAATTCTTGATGATAGCCATTCTTTCTGGAATGAGATGGAAACCAGTGTTGTTTTAATTTGCATTTCTTAAATGATCAGTGACATTGAACTTTTAAAGATGTGCTTATTAGTCATTTGGATTTCTTCATTTGAGAATCGTTCTTTCATTTCTGCTGCTCCCTTTTTAACTGGGGCTTTAAATTTGGGAGATCTTGTTTTTTTGAGTTCCTTATGTATTCTGTATATAGTCTTTTGTCTGAGTACCTGGTATGTGGTGAAAATTTTTTCCCATTCTGTAAATTGTTTCTTTACTTTGTTGGTAGTTTTCTTGGTTGTGCAAAGATTGATGTGATACAGAGCAATTGTTCTAGTTTTCCCTTAGATAGTATGATGTTGGCAGTAAGTTTGTCTTCAGTTTCCTTAGTCATTTTGAGGGAAGGGTCTTCTACACATATCTATAATTTGTGTAAACTAACATGGTGGAAAAATAATGTTGCTTTTCTTCATATATCTGTCTTGTAACCTATCAATTTTGAATTAATAGTGAATTTCCTATAAAAGAGATAGGTTATGTTTCAATTAGAATGTATTTTGAAGGACTCAGATTTCTTTCTGCTCACCTTTTGGAGTCACTGGCTGACTTGGAGATAGAAACACACTCTTCTTACTTAACAATAACGGGTGACACCTTAATGTGGCCGCTACAGTGCTACTAGAAAGGGCTGGCATGGTCAGGTTTGGCTTGGTTTGGTTTGATTGTTTTGTTTTGATTTTACCAGAAGAAATAATTTCCCAACATTTTTATTGTGTTTGGTAACACTGAGTTTGAAATTTTTATTTTATTGTTTTTCAACAAATAACATTTTTGATTATTAGTTGTTTTTTTCTGAAATATGCAATTGTACTTTACATAATTAAGTATAGTAGACCAACAGATAAAAACATGCTTTCATTAGTAAAGGACTGAAGCCTGTTGACCTCAATTTACCTTTCCTAGGAAAAGATTTCACAAAGAGGTACAGATGTGTCCTGGGGTTTATCATGGGGCACTCTGATATATATAGGTTGTAAGTCTTGAATCTAGAGAATGTTCCATATGGTTTTATGAACCCACTCAAAAAAATATGCAAGGGCACCCAAACTACTTCAAGCGAATGCCCACATTTCCAAATGTGGTGATTTAAATTCAGTGAATTATTAATGTACTTCAGCTTATCAACAGCTGAGCTCTTTCCCAAGGAAATCTTAAAAATGTGCCAGCCCATGTAAATATTTCTTAAGCCTTGCTACAGAGAATTTAAACAGTGTTAAACAAATGAATCACTGTTTTTAATGCCCCAAGAGAAATAATTGCTCTTTCTAGAACACTGTTTTCAAGCTTTGTTTTACTATAAGACTCAATAAGTCTTATACTGCAGGTTTTAGAGTTTTAAAAAGAATAATAAATCAGTGCATTTTCTTTGTGGTATATAAACCAAGTGTGGGGAAACCCACCATCTTGCTTGGGTAGTTATTGCAGAGGGTTGGTTATAGGAGTCTGTGTCAGAAAACAATGATTTTTACAAGTAACAGCAAGAAGCATGGTACAGTAATCCATTATTTCTCCCTTTGTGTTTTGGACACTGTCATTCAGATGGGCAAGTTATCAAAAGGGTTATTGTGTTATTGTGAAAAATAGGAGACTGTTCATGCTAGTATGTGACCAGACAGACAGTGATCACTTTGGGCCTTATGTTCTTTTTTTTAGATCCCCAAAGCAAAGCTGGTACTTAATCTGGTACTGAGCTTCATTTTCTGCATCATTCTTCCATCCATATACCAGTTTTGTTGTTTTATCTTCCTTTTTGTTTCCTTTTTAAAGTTAGTCTAGAATAATTTAGCTAAATAAATAATCTTCACTTTAAAGTTTAGCAAATTAAGTTCTCTAGTGATTACAGGAAAGTACAAATCAATTTTGATTTCTAAAGACCAAGTATCAAAATAAAAACCTACCTAGAATTTAATAATCTTTTTAAACTGTGAGACTCATCTGACATTAGGAAATAGGGAAGCCAGCAGCATTTCTGAAAGTGGGAAGTGTGATGTGTGGGGAAGCTGCTTGGGTGGGAGCATCAGGGAATGTGCCTGTCCGAGAACAACTGATGCCAGTGAGATGGAAGGGTGAGAGGGAGGCGGCCACAGAGCAGAGGACAAACTGCTTCTGCTGGCAGAAGCCATAGGCTGACGGTTATAAGGGGAGGGAGAGATCCATACATCTGAGATACCAAAGAAGGCAGCCTGATTCAGACTGGGTAATGACAGGACAAGTGAGCTGTAGTTGGGCCTTGCAGGGTCTTGCAGGTCCATGCTGTAGGAAACCATGGTAGCATTCAGGTGTTCTCAAGAGCACCTTGTGGTGTTTTCATTTTAAAAAATCATTTGGGAGAAGAACAATTGGATAGGAATGAGACAAAGCAGGCAAATAGACAGTGGGCGCAGTTGGTCCGCACTATGCTTGGCCGGCCAGCTCAGTGCTTGGCTAGCCAGCCTTTTGGTGTTTTCTATGACTGTTTAAGAGTGAAAAGGTCTGTTGGCTCCAGTATGGAAAAAACTGAAAACATGTTTAAAAGTATGTACAGCCAACATTTTGTGAACTTCATTTTGTATCTTTAAATATTCACTCAGATTTTATTATGATTACATTCAAAATAATCTGTAGGTTAGATTTTTCTCAGTTTGAAGTGAATCCCAACTGTAATGGATACTTAGAAACCCTAATCTAGGTTAAAGAGTTATGCATAACATACACTTGTCTAAAGAAAATTAGAAGAATCTAGTCAGAAGTTTCAAAAATTTGGAAAATAAGTATATGTAAGGTGTGGGTTTGTTTTATTATTTAATGATTATGGTGGACTTTAAAACTATGGCTTCTTAAGAGATAGAAAAATCTTAAAAGGTGAAGCGGTAGGATTAGAGGTGGACAGAACTGGGCTTGGACCAGTTAGAACTGGCTCTCAGGACCCTGATGGCCCTGCCAGGAGCACAGGACGAGGGGAGTTCTGGAAGAGAGGTTCTTGCCTAGAGTAGACAGCGCTAGTGTGCGGTTAGCGTTCGATGAAGAAGGCAAGACTGAGAAGGAGGCACGTGCTCAGCAGGCCCGGCGAGGGCTGGGAACAAGGGCTGTTTTGTGACACAGATTAAAGGTACTTGGTTCCCTCCCAGTTCCGTGTACACATGTGACACACAGCTCTATTATGCTCCTGCACCTTGTAGCCTTGAAGCTTTTGTGACTCTTGGGCTTTGCTCATGGCATAGAGCAGAGCAAACCACATGACAGTGAAGGGACCTCTCGGGAGTGCATTGTTGGGGAACAGCTACAGATTTCGTCACCTGCTACCGCTTTGCCTCATTGAGGCTGGAAGGTGTCCCTGTGGATCTGTAGATAGAACTGAACGCTTCCACACAGCACATATTTCTGCCGCTGTGGAGAGATGATGGGAGCACTTGGAAGTCAGGTTTGCTGGGGTGAGGGTGCAGTGATGTTCTCCTGTAGGTTAGACACATGTAGGAGGAATGGAGAAAATGAAAATATTAAACATAATAAACAAGGGAGATCCTTAACATCTTTTCGTGTATTTTGGTGTTCAAATTAAAAGTTCCTTTGTACATGACTCCTTAAGTCTCATTGAAGCAAGTCCTTTTAATAATTAGACAATAATTTGTTGCAATAGGTGGATTTACAAGTAAATCTAGGCAAGACTAGAGATCCCAGAGACCTAAAATACTGAGGAAGTTGTGATTTTGACATTTTGCCGTCACTGTTTCAGCTGGTCTTGGAGCTCCCCCCTACCGACAACATTTCCTTCAAAAATCTGACTTGAGAATACTATTAAAATTTGGTAAAAGTTTAAAAATGAGTTTATTTTACATGTTGATCCTTTTAGAGTTTAAGCAATGTTCTTATTCCTGTTATTTTACATGCTACCATTATACGTTTAAGGGAAACAATCTGTAAAGCTGTAACCATTTACATGTCCTGAAGTAATCAAAAATTATTCTCCACCAGCTCCAGTTGTGGACCAAACGCCTGGGAAGGATTTTCCTGGTGCTGCAGGGGCAGTCTCAGCATACGGCCCTGTGGCTGGTGGTGCTGCCGTGGTACAGGAGGTCCAAAGCCCAATCAGAGCCCCGCATTTGCAGCTCTCCGAAGGAAAGGTATGCAAATCAGGACTACATGGTTTTGAACTTGTTCTTAAACCAGAAGCTGGCTGTTGAATTTTCTCTTTCAGCAATTAAATATTTATAATTTATCATTCATTATGTGTTCTGTGTTGGTGTAATTTCCCAATTTTCAAATACGGTAGATTTTTGCTGATTTGGATTGTAGTCTCTAACCTGCTTTTAGTTGTTATTCAGAACAAAATATTTAAACATAAGTTACATTAATACAAGTAAGTAATGCATGGGCCTTTCTGTCTTTATGATTATCAATTAAATCACCAAAATATAGAAGCATGATGATTTGGAAATTATATTTGATTTGTTATAAGTAAATTTTAAAGTTTATTTAAATTATGTTGAATGAAATTTTTTACATAAACAAAGGTGATTTTTATGAAAAATTTGTTCATTAATAACCTGTAGCTGATAAAGAAATTTTAACACAAAGAGTAGTTGTTTTGTGGGTAGTGAGAAGTTGGTGTGTTTCCGGCTCTCTTTTGTTCATTTCCTGTAGTGAACGGAGAAGTACAGTGTTCTCAGATTGGGCGCTCTTATGCTCCCTGTGCTCCCCTAGGCAGAGGAGTCTCCTCAGCATTGCTCTGGAGAACCTTGGAATTCTTTCGTCTCTCTTCCATGACTATGTAAACACTGGGAGTAGGCGCACACGTGCGTGCACACACACACCAAACCGAAGGGTGAAATATCCTGATGATTCTAACTTTGACGTTTTAGCCATACAGAGTGAATTTATAAAGGACCTGCTAGATGAAGTAGTGCCAGGGCCTTAGAAATTCCTGCAGTTAAAACCACAGATGCCCACAGCGGAGGTTGAGGGACCTGTGGGTCCTCTCTTTTAACAGGTGGCATAAAATAATTTTTACTCTATTGTTAAAGAATCATTACTGTCATGTTGAAAATTACACAAGCCAGGTGTGGTGGAACATACCTGTGATTCTGGAAGGCTGAGGCAGGTAGATTCAAACTCAAGCCCATCCAGGTCAATTTAGCAACTTAGTGAGTACCACCCCCACTGCCAAAGGATTGGCTTAGCGCAGAGGCCCTGGCTTCAGTTGCCAGTGCTGTACCAGGACTGCAGAACAAGCCCAAGAAGATGTCCTTCAACTGCTGAGGAACTGTTAGAATTGTTTATTAAAAATAAAGCATAAGCTAAAGAGGAACCCAGGAAAGTATTTATACCCGAAATAGCAGAATATCGTATTTTAGAATATTTCTGTTCCATTTTCCCTATTGAATTTGACCTATACAGTTGTGTTCTAAATTTTTTTTTAAACTGAAAAATGTTCTTATCTTTAAAATTCAAAAAGAAATCTTGTCTTTAGGAAACAACTGGCTATGCTGACTTTTTTTGCTAATGTTTTAAATGTTATCAGCATTCATCTTTGAGTGAATAATACCAATTGTGTTTCCTAGGATTCATGTGGAACCAGTTTGAAAATAATAATTAAGTCAGTTGGTACCTATAAGTTTTAGGTGATAAAAGTAGTCTAGTTTTCTTCTTTAAGGATCATGTGGCTCATTTTCTAACTGCACTGTTAATATGAAACCCTCTCGAGTACAGTTTTCACTAACTACGCATTTCTTCTTTTCTCCTTCTTTCCTTGCATTCCCTTTTCCTTTGAACGTTTCTGTTGTGTAACTCACATTCGACCATGGGTTTGTTCTTGGAAACAGACTGTTTGCATGTGCCCATCATCCCCTCTTCTCCACTGTACCTCACCATTTTCTCCACACCGCCTGCCAGTCCCTGAAGTGGACTTGCTCTCAGACACTTCAGAGGAAGATCCTTTTGGGGAGGCTGAGCAGCTCAGCCTAGACAGCTTAGAGCAACTTTCCACAGGTGAAGCCTCAGAGCCAGGGGACCCAGAGAGGGCCACGCTGGATTCTGTCTCGGATCCTGTTGTAGCCCCTGCTCAGCCTGCCTGTCCTCTCGTCCATGAGAAGACTGTTAACGTGGCTGAGCAGGAGACCTCTGAGTTTGGCTACTTCTCTTTTGGCTTCCACAAATGTTTCCCATCTGGGTTCCCTTCTCTTCTTGATGAAGATGGGTATCTTACTTTCCCCAGCCTCCCCAAGCTCTGGGTCTCCTTCCTTCCGCCAGATGTTCAGCACTATGTCCCTATCACCTCCCCATCGTTCATTCCCTCTCTCATCCTCATCTTCGGCCTCCTTCTCTCTGCTTCTCAGTCCGTTCCTTTTTCTCTCACCTTTTCACTTCCTCTGGCTCTAGCCCTCTGTTATCTGGAAGCTAAAGCCACCTCGTTTAATGTTCCTTATGACTGTGACTTGAACGACAAAACAGAGGAAGAGGAAGCAGTTACTGGCACTCCTCCATAAGCTTCGTTTTATAAAGTCAACCAAAGTACACTTCATCTTGTACCTTTCCTAATATAGAGTGTAAACATGTGCATAAACTTCACTGATTATCCTCAAAATAGTATCATCTACACATTTTCATATACACAGTGCACTAGTGCATGAGAGATAAAGGTAGACACTTCTAGATTGATGTCCTTTGACCAGGTCCATACATCCTAAATCAAGAACAATATGGTAAGATGATTTTTAAAATACTGAAATCATGTTAGATTGTTAACAAAAGGAGTGGGTAAGAGGGAACCTGTATTGTCCTTAAATCCATATTGACCCAGTTTTACAGACAGATGTTAATGCTGTTTCTTTAGGATAGGAACTTTATGTTCGAAACAGCATTTAGAATGCAACGAACACAATAATAGATATATATTAGAACTCCTTAGTGTTAGTCCTCCTGATCACAATACACATTTGTTCTTGCATTTGTAAAATCATACCTATATTAGTCTTTGTAAGTCTAATTGCAGAATCCTTGTTTCCTGTCACTGTAGTATCTGGGACCTGGTAGATAATACTTAACTAGGCCCCCAATCCTAAATCATGCACTTACATAAAAGAATCAGTTAGGTATTTTATAAGGAATATGCTATTCTGTTTTCTTTAACAAATATGTGTGAACAATGTAGCATGACTTTTTGAAAGCTTAAAAGTACAACATTAACATTGAGCCCTTATTTTTATTGAAAATGGGGTGTTTGGTTCAAGGACATTTTTAATCTTTGTATAAGCAACTTTTTAAAAAGTATATTACTTCTGCACTGCTAAGTCATTGTAAACAAGTGCACTATGTTTTTAAATTGTTTTGCTAAGTGTGGTGTGGTGATTCAATATATCTTAGCTTATGGGAACTGTCAGTATGTAGACTAAGTCACAAAATTCAGAGTAAAGCTAAAGAAAATGTAAAGAAATACAGTGAGTATGGATTGTAGAACAAATCACAGTTCACAAGTTTACCTGAGAAATACCAAAGATAAACGTTTTAGAGAATTAAGTGTTGGCCTAAGAATTGAGAGATGATTCTTAATGATTGTTGAGTAGTTATGTGTTACTTTTCTCTACTTCTGATAAACTCTTTGAGTTTCCTGCTTATCTCTCAAAACTACTAGAATTACCATAAATAAAGGTAAGCATTAGTCAAATTTGACCCTAGCAAAAAAAGAAAAGAATGTATGATATGAATTAGCCTGTAATGGTTATATTCCTTTGATATCAGAATCAGTACTTTTCTTCTTCTGAAGTCAAAATTCATTTAGTACTTAAACTTTGAATTTATATTTCTGGGTCATTCGATAATGAGAAAAATCCAATTATGAAAAACTGTTGTTACTTAAAAATTATATGAAAGAGCAAGGCTGTATTTCAAGCATTGTTTTAAATACCTACGATTTTAACACGAAAGTAGCCAAAATTTCTCCCAAGAAATCCCTATTTAAAGTATCAGTGATGGGGTAAGGTATAAAGATGTAAAATCTGTAACCAACACAAAGCTGAAGACAAGTTTTGTATCAGTATATACTGCCTCATCACTAGTTGATTTAGATATTTCCAAATAGAACAGATTAAATTATGCCATATTTGCACTCTTATATTCTCATTCTCGGGTTAAAAAAAATGCTCCAAAGCAGAGCACGGTCTAGGGACTGAGAAAGAGTGAAGGGTTCCTTTCTCCATTCCACCTTGCAAGGATCATTTCCATCATGTGTGCAGCACTGTAGGTGAAGAGGGACCAAAGTGGCTTAATGGCCTGCGTCTTCTGAGGGCCAGACAGCAAAGGTTGGTAACGCTGCGTCAACATTGAAGTTCACAGACAGCTCCTGCACTGAGGGTAGGGTTCCAGTTAACGCTCCCCTTCTTTCTGGCAAATACGGTGTGACTTTTCAGGTGAAGACGGAAGAGGAAGTGCAGTTGGAAGAAGGGGACTGTTTTTCCTCTAAAGTTAAATATTCGGTAGCTGCTTCCTGCAGTTATTGTTGAGGGGTGGTAGTGGAATGTACTTCTAGGGTGATTTGTGAGATTTGTTATGCCTTTAAGTTCTTAAATTTTTATCCTCTTTTATTTTAAAGTCTTAGACTGTCAAACTCTGCATCATTCCTGATACTTGCTGATTGATACACTTACGTTTATTTGCCTTTTTCTCCCTGTGTGTGATTTAATTTCGCAGAAAAATTCCTTGAGAGTAGAAGGGGATAATATTTATGTCAGACATAGCAATTTAATGTTGGAGGTTTGTATAATCTAAGAAAACCACTCTGTCCTATGGCTGCCAGGCTGCTGTGGACGGGAGGTCACGCACAGGCTCGCGGGCAGCTTTCCAAGCACAGTGCATGAAACGCATGGGGGATGGAACTGGGAGTGCATGTGACCAGGCCCGCTTGGTTCATGTCAAGTGGCATAGGTAGGCATAGAGCCACTGCATTCTCAGAATGGCCACTGGGAAAAAGCTTTGGGTAGCCAGGTGAATAAAATTTATCCTTTAGTCTTAAAGTTGTTCTGTGAGTAAGCCTATTTTCCTAATGAGGTATTTCAAGGGCACAGAATCTGAAGTAATAGCCCCACCATTGGTATACATATTAGGTAGAACAGATTTTGATTATCTGACATCAAATCATTGATCTTGATCTATACTCGCTTCCCCCATTTCTAAATTCTGTGTAATGAGGAGTGTGGTCCACTTAAAATACTGTTTGTGACTATGTATATTAATTAATGGAATAATTTTGATTAGAAAGAGAGAGAGAGCAAGATAGATAAAAGTAGGGAGGGAGGAGGGAGTGAGAGTGAGATAGAATGCCTAATCACCCATGTCACATGAGGACAGTTTTTCCTTTGCCCACTAGGTTAGGTAGTATGTGGCAGTGTATTTACGGAGAACTGCAGCTCTCAATAACCTAACTAATCTGGTTGCTTTTGGCAGCTTTGGTAACCGTTGAAAGTGTATTTTTGCTTAACTTACTAAAATGCTGTATGGTGTAATGAGTAACACTGCTTTGAATAAATGCAAGAAATGTGCCTGATCTCAAGCCACAGATGTTTTCCCATGCCATGCAAAGGGTTCTAAATTTTCATGAAGTTTTGCAGATGGCTATAGAAGCTCATAGATGAGCGATTAAGCTTGTGCATGAATGTGAGTTACCTAATTTTATCAGATGCATGACCTGTTCCTATGGGAGTGGGACAAAAGCTGTGATCTACAGGTGGCCCTTTGATTTTTGAAGCACCAGAAAACATTTAGAACTCAGTTGAAACACTTTCCTAAGCATTAGTTACTATATACACCATTTATCAGAGCCAGGCTGAACAAATTCTACTAATACTGTTTGTCAGGTCTTACTTCAGTGAAAACTATCCTGGTAGTTTCTTTACGTTTTTGTGTAAGGAATATTTGATGTGTGTAGTAACTGAGCCCCATTTTTGTGCTTGGTGCTACATGAGGCCAGTATGTTTATTCATTATTTTATAGCAAGACCAAGTAGAAGCAGCCTTTGGAAGCAATTATTATTATTATTTTTTAAAAGCATTAAAAACTACCACTGGAATTTCCTGACAAAAGTCAGTCTTTGAGTTTTCCTTTCGTAGGAATGATCTTGGACTGGCTTTCTCCAGGCTGAGTGTGCTTCACAGTCTGTGTCTGTTGTTTCTCTGATGCACTGTGTTCATGGAATACAAGTTTAGTAGTAACACCAAGGAGAAAGGGAACTTTGTAGAAACAAAGTCAGGCTGCAATTCATCCTCATGAGAAGGATTATTAGCTATTTTTGACAGTGTGTTCCATGGCTTCCTTCTAATAATATAAGTGATTACTCTTTGGAAAATTCTACACAGAAATTAAAACCCTTTAAAATACAAATTATAAAAATTACACATTGGCTTTGTTTTCAATAAAGGCTAAAATACATATGGCTTTTGAGACTTGGCATTTTTCTTGCTTTACTATGTTTTTTAATCACAAGATTGCTTTGTGTTATTTTTTGTTTTTGTCCTACTGGGTTTTTTCCTTTTGGATTTTTCCCCCCTTACGTTACATATTGCTAGGACCTGGATAAAGCCCAGGAGGACATACTGAAACATCAGGCTAGCATTAGTGAACTCAAGCGCAATTTTATGGAATCCACACCTGAGCCGCGCCCTAACGAATGGGAAAAACGACGTATCACACCTCTGTCCCTACAGACTCAAGGGGTATGTCACCAGCTGTTTGTTGGTTGTGTGTCTCACTCCAGTTGTTTAGTAAAACTCAGGTTATTAATCTTGTGTGTTGATGCTCAGAAGTTGGAAAATATTCCCATTTCTTTTTGTAATTGCTAACAACTTTTAAAATACTAAGTATTAACAATGTAATAGTTATTGGCTTAATTCTTAGGAAAGTCATATGAGTTTCAAAATATTTTTTGAAGTATTTTCAGAGTAATTCCACTATTTTATTCAGGTTGTTTATGAGTTAATGAATTTACTTATAAGACAATTTGAAACTTAAATAATATTTTTTTATTTAATAAACTTCTTAGTTATTGACTTCTGAAATACTCTAAGAACTTTTACTTTGTAAATAAAATGTAATTAAAGGAATGTAACTCATATTTTATAATGGCTTTAAGTTCATCACTGTGAGAATACTGAATTAAAATTTTACTTTCAGGAACTGATAAGCACTGTTGAAAACTTGTAAAATGTTATATATGTAATGCAACTGAATATCAAAATTTCTGGTAATGGTATATAGAGTTTTGAAAATGTTTCAAATGATGTCTCTCCTAACTCATTTTTCTTCCCACCATAATATAAGCATTGCCTTTCGGATATAGTCTCAAAATATTTCTCCATGTATTCCCTTGGGTATCTGTTTTTCTGTGCCATTCCTACCCTTCTGTGGTTGACCAAGAATCTCCATGGAGTCCTCCTCCAGAAGGGACAGTGATTATACTATGTGTAACCTACCGTGTAAAAAATCATTCAAAAATGTTACACTATATTTTCATCTTCCCCCTGTAGTTTCTCTTATGGCTTGAATGTTGCCAAATTGAACACATTTAATTTAGATGTTCTTGTGCTGTTTTTATTCACCTTTCCTTAAAAAGCAAAGCTGTTGGTTGCTCTGGTTTTCTTTTGTGACATGAATGGATAATAGTGCTTTAAGAACAGATGAGCAAAAATAATTGCTGAACTGAAAAACAAAACTTTTGAAAATATTAAGACTTTACACACCATGGGTAGTAGGATCTTGTGAAATTGGATACTTTTTAAATCCTTATTTCAGGTTTCTGAAGGAATGTTAGTGTCAGCAATCCACTTGAAAGTGTTTCTGGGGAAAGCGATGGTACGCTGAGGCTTCTCTGTGCTTCTGCATCTGGCTGATGCTACTGACACTGACACCCCTCTCTAATTGTTCTATGTGTGTGTTGCCGTAGGTGTAATGTATATGTTTTGTTTGTTGATTGTGTCTATTGTTTGAAATAATAGAGAAAAGGAGACCATCTTTTCAAGGATATTTTATCCATGAAGGAGAAGTACCTGGTGGGATCCACACGGACAGTTGAAGAAAAAGCTCAGGAGGCGGATAAGGTGTTCACCTTGCATCCTTGGATCTGCTTTTGTCTTTTCCCTCCTCCACTTACTTCTGCCCAAAGCTAGCTATATATATATATATATGTTCCTTTTTTCTTACGCATCAATCTGAAATTTTTTGGAAATAATTTTTTGAGTGTTTGAAAAGTCAACTCCCCATATATAGAAGCATAGAATCATTGGGCAGAAACACCATATTGCATAAACATATTGCCTGCAAATTTACATTTTGAAATGTAGAAGTATGAAGCAGTTTAGAAATAAATGGTCCTAATTTGATTTGTGTTTGGCTAACAGTTGGGAAACAATAATTTCATGTGAAAATGCACTATAACACATATTCATACTGCAGTACTAAGACATCAAATTACATGTATTTAGGCTACTAGCTTAAAGTAGCCTAAATGGAAACTTTTTTTAATTTTAATTTTTAAGATTCCTAATAGGAAAAAAAAAAAAGATTTCTATGCACCATAGCAGCTTCTCATACCTATCTGTGCTTCTGTATATGAAATATTAGCATTGGTGAGAAAGTTAGCTTTCTGTTGCCTTTACATTCTCATTTTTTTGTTTCTACTGACTTTACTTAGCCTGCTTGTCAGCCTGGAGAGCTTAGGCTCTGGTGGAGGAGATGGACAGCAGTTAGTAATTAGAGAATTTCAGGTACTGAGGGATAAGTGCTCATAACTGATACAGCCTGTTATGTTAGAAGGCTGATTTCCCATTATGGTCAGGAGGAGGAGGCATGTGAGATGAGACTACTGATGACATGGAGTATATTCACCAGCTTCCCTGTTTCTAGACAAAGTATCTAACAGCTGCATCTTAAAGGAGTAGAGGTTTATTTTGGTACATGGCTCCAGAGGGTTTGCTCCATGGTTGACTGTCTCCAAGGCACAAATGGCATGCTGGAAGGTAGTAGTGGAGGACAGCTGCTCAGCTTATGGCAATCAGGAAGCAGAGATGTAAGGAAGGGCTAGAGTGAGAGATGTACCCTCCAAAAGCTTGCCCTCAGTAACCCCCTTTTCTCCACTGGACACTCCTTCCAAATAGCTCATTCAGCCATCCATTTAGCAGTGGATGAACCTTCGCTCATCCCTATGTAGTGTCTCGTGTGGCTTGAATGTTGCCAAATTGAACACATTTAATTTAGATGAATCCCTATGATTCAGTCATCATCTGAAAACCACATCTCTGAACACATGAGGCTTTTGAGGGATCATTTTAGACCCAGAGTATAATGAGGCAGACATTCAGAGATTTTTCCACATGCAATGAAAAACAGATGCAACAGAACTAATTTAAGGAACTGAAGACCAAATGGCACTGGCTTAGTGAACATGAAGAAAGGAAAGGTCAAAGAGGTCAGACCCCAGATCGTGTCAGGTCTTAAAGATCATGTTACTGACAGGAAAAAAGAAAGTGTTACTGATTTAGGATGGCATTATAGCAGTGACAAGATGCCATGGCAGTTTTTAAGGTGAGCAGTGATGTGACCCTGCATGTATCAGATGGAAGCTGGTCTCACTGAATAAGGACAAGATTGTAGAGGGTGAAAATGAGAGCAGAGAGGAGTAAAGAGGAAAAAGTATTTCCCTCCCACAAAGCAGATTAGGTTCATCAGTAGTGTGTTTATCAGAATACACAGTGAGATAGGTAACAGGCAAGACGTGGAAATTCGTTCCAGGACTCCGAGCCCTAGTTGAGATGAAATATTTCCAGAGCACTGCAGTGACAAACCTGATGCCATAAAGACTAAGCAGATGGTATTCTTTTGTACATTAAAGGTCAATTTGAAATCCAAAGCCAGTTAGATTGTGTATAATGAGGACTTTAATATCTCATGCTTTGAAATAATAAGTATCTTTAGAAATCCGTCTTCTAAAAGCTAGTTGAATGACATACCAAGTTTAAAGTGATATCCTTGGACTTTTTGCAGTTAGAAACTGGATTTTTGGTAAAGATATTCAAACTTATCACTTTTCTGGATCTCATATTTTAGGGATTGTACAGTATAAAACGTCTTACAAAGTTAGAGTAACTTTGTTAGTCCACTTTCTATTGCTTTAACTAATACCTGACATGGCTGTTTTGGAGGTTTTAGTCCCTGGTCAGCTGGTTCCCTTGCTGTGGCTGTGAGGGAGGTGAAATGTCCTGGCAGAGGGTGCAGCAACCAGGAAGTGCAGACAGCAAGAACAGTGCTGAAGAAGGGGCTAGGGGCTGGGCCCAGGAGCAGTCCCCAAGATCCATGCCCTTTAGGCCCACCCCTAAGTTTCCAGTTCCTCCTGCAAGTGCTGGCAAACCAGGGTCTCATCAGTAAATCAGTTCTCCAGTGAAGTTAGGGCCCTGTGACCCAGTCATCTGTGGAAAGGCTCTTCTTGGAGCACAGGAGACTTTGAGGGGGCAATTTAGATCTAAACCCATAGCAGTGATGTTTATGTGATACTTAAATTAGGAAAAGTTCCTAGATAGCTAATCTGAACTTGAAGTTACTGCGTATTTCCTGGTCTTCTCTGACTACAACCATCCATTCAACCTAAAAACATTTATTGACTACCTATAATATAATTAAATACTTATATTATGTTATTACATTTGTCATCAAATAGCATGCCACTGCTATTAATTGGAGGTACCTGCATATTTGAGACTATTGAGGTTGACTTGAACAGAATATCTTTTCAGTTTCTGTCTTTGCATCTTCCATTTGCTACTATTTTTTAGGGTTTCTTTTTCATCTTTGAATTATCCTTATTGGAGTACAAAATTTAAAATTATGTGTAAATGTATAATTTGACCACAATTTTAAAATTTCCATCATACAGGTTTCGCAGATTTTTAAAAAGCAGTAACAATGTTTTTTTTTTTTAAAATAAATACATTGAATGTATTCTTATTTATTTAGTACCAGGGATTGAACTCACAACCTTGCCCTTGCCAGGCAGGAGTTTATGCCACTGAGCTATATCCCTGCTTTTGAGACAGGGTCTCACTATGTATTGCAGTCTGGTCTTGAACTTAATCATGTAACCCAGGATGGCCTGTCAGCCTCCTGAGTGCTAGGATTACAGGTGTAAACCACCACACCCAGCCAGATATGTTGAACTTTGAGGATGAATGTTTTAAAAGTAGAAGAGAAAGTGAGACACCAAGTCTGCAGTCTTCTCAGTGGTGAATGCATCTTGGCATCCTCTAGTAGATTGTGAGACTGTGTTAAGCTGGTGTATTCTGTAATGAGTCTAATAAAAGTTACCTAGGCTGTAATTTAGAGATACTTTGATGGTTTCTTTGGAATAATTAAATACATGACAAACTCCCCAGGGATCGCTTTCTGGGACAGCCCTTCCTTTCCATCCCCACCCCTGAGCGTGGTGTAACAATGGGGATTGTAACTGAGCTTATTCCACAATATTGAAATGCTTTCCACCTTCCTCTCCTCACCTCCTTTATCTCACTCTGTGAAAGAGGCATCTTGTAAAAGTCGCATTTTTTTAAAGTTTGCTGAAGAGTGAGTTTTATTCAGAATTATTTTCATACACTTCTGAGTGAGTCTTTAGTGGTATTCCAGGTTTCTGGAATACCCCAGCTTTCCTTTTGTCCCATTGTTTAAGGGCTAGAAATGTGAAAGTCAAGTCTAGGGACAAATGCACAGAAAGATGCAATTAAAAGGCAGGAGCCATTGGAGAGACTGTTGTATGCAGGAAGGGACCAAGGAGCCCAGGTCAAGAATGTGTGAGGTTGTGTTGAATGGGCAGGTGTGTTGTGCTCAATTTGTGATAAAGCGTCAGGGTTACACCAGGAGTTTTAGCTGGTTTCTGGAAGTTACAGCATCAGAGATTTTCAGGCAGTAGAAACACCACATACGCCAGCTGCAAAATCTTCAGAATTTTTCTCTTTCATTTTATGCTGTTCTATTATCTTTCTTGTGTAACCTTTCCTTTCTTTCAATAGGTCACTACTGTCTTTCTGGTGTATTAATTCTTTGCTCTTGCTTTTCTGACCTTTCTAGAGCCTAGAAGAGGAGATAACATCCATTTTGTTTAGTGGAAAGGGGTTTTCTGATAGCATGAAAGCCACCTTCCCTTCAGCCACCACTTGGACAGCAGAGGGCGCAGTTGTGAACTCTAATGCACCTTCTAGAGAAAAGCTTTCCTCCTCCGGGCCCTTCTCACATTTGCCTGAGGTGCATTTTACTTTGTTTCCCTGTTACTAAAAGCCTCACAAGAGAGTGACTCATTTTCTGAATGTTCAGACACCTTTCCCTCTAGTGCTTTCACTGGTAAAATTAACTATTCCTGGGAGAAACATTCGAGGAAAATGATTGAATTTGGACATGAGGAAAAGAAATAGATAGGATGTTTCTCCTCCTTTTAGTCAAAAACCAAAACCAAATCAAAACAAACCAAAACAAAACAAAAACCAAAGACTGCCTAAATTCAGAGAATCATTGAAACCATTATAGCTCAGAGCCCAAATTGTGAAGCAGAGGAAAGCCTCAACAAAGTAGAAGTTTAGTGTGCTTTGTACAGCTCAGGTTTTCAAAACCCAAATTACAGGCATCTTCTGATTTATTTTTAAAGTTGCTTATATAGAAAAATTGAAATGCTATCATACTGATTGAAATAACTGTTTTTGAATGACACTAAGAGATTCCCTGAACTTAGGCAGAACCTATTAAGCCATTTGAGGTTGGTAATAATAACTCACCTACCCTTAATAATCATGAAATGTGTGTTTTGGAAATGTTCTGATCATAGGATATCTTTATTTGTGAAGGAGTTTATAAGTAGTTACCTGCCTACCAAAATAGATTCAGAGTTTTTCAGTTTCATGTCTGAAACTTCTAGGTTATCCATGAAACTGGAAGGGTGATTCTCCTGCTCTGTTGGTCACAAGGTTTGCATAGTGTGAAGTTTGACAATGCTTTCAGCATGCATTTCTGAATGGCTCAGAAAGTCACAGAGGGACTCTAAGCCTGGCTGACAGCGCTATCCGGAAGTGTGTACAGTAGGCACCCTCAGCTTGCGGCCCTGCTATGGGCAGGGGAGCCCGAAGGTCTCCGTAAGGCATGGCTTGGCACAGTCAGTGCACTGGCAGTGCCCAGAGGGAATTGGAGCAGAGGGCCTCGCTGTGTTCGAGGCACTGTCTGGAATGAATAGATCTACTGTCTACCACTGAATTATTTCTAATTAGATTACTGATTGTAGTGCCACCTGAATGTCAGTCGTTAACACTTATTTGTGGTAATATAAAATAACCTTTTTTATGAGTGACAAGAAATTTAAAGCTTTAAAAACAAAGTCATGTAAAAAAGCATTTCTACCCTAACTAATAATATAGTATAATAGTTTATATAGCTAGTGTATTCAGTCAACAGGTATTTCTTGAAGATTTAGCTATTACATTACTCAAAATACATTAATGTGTTCAAAAGGATACATTAATTTATTCCCAATTTATTGCAGGGGATAAAAATTAGCATCTCCAATGTTAAGCTTGCTCCACTTGAGATTTTAAAGATACTGTGGAAGGAGCTAGATTTTCAAAAGGAAATACTGGTGTACCCTTAACTCTGCCCCAGTGCATAGTCTCCCTTCTGCTTCATAGTGCAGACTGCATTGTTAATAACCATCTCTGAAATGAATATTTTATGTTAGTGATGGTCAGAGACCACTGTGAGTTTGCCAATCAAAGCTATTTATTTAAAATTATTTTAGCAGTAGGGTTTCTTTATGTTGCTCAGCCTGGCCTTGAACTCCCAGTTCTCCCTCCTTGGCTTCCCAAGTAGCTGAGATACAGGCATGTGCTGCTGTGCCCAACTCAAAACTCTTCTTTTAAAAGTACCCTCACTACCCCCAAACAGATGTCATTTCCTTGCTGTTGTGTTTATTTAGGAACCAGGGCTCCAGGTGAAGCTCTAGAGTCTGACTGAAACCAAAACCGTTTGTTGAATAAATTTTTCAGTTTCCCAATTTATCCTTTAATGTGATAAGTAAACTTTGTGTTTTTCCATATTTTTATAAAAATGTCAACTACATAAGTGGAGCACTGATAGGTATAACTCCATAGTAAAAGCATTTTACTTCTTTGGAAAGGTGCTGGGTATTTTTGTTCCTTTTGGTAAGCTTTTTGGCATCTGTCTCGATTGTGCTCTGTGTAACTGTTGAGCAAAGCCTTTTGTAGCTGCTGAATCTTGCTATTCTGTCTTTATCAAATGTCTGTCCAGTGGTGTTGAGGTAAAACTGTATTGATTTTGTGTCTTCGGTTGCTTTTTGTTCCGCAGACACGTGCTCCCGCGTCAGAAGGGCCTTGCACTGGAGCCAGGGATGCTGTTAAGGTTCTCCCCTTTCTGTGTTCACACCATTGTCCGCCGCCTTTCATCCCCTCACGCTTGCCCACTTCCCTTCCAGTCAGCCATCATAATCATCATTGTTTTCTCCATGACATGAGCCTGCCATCCATTGATTTGGATTTCCGTTGTTTTTATTTATTCATGTATTTTTGTTTTCCCTCCTCCATCTTTTTTTCGTACAGAGTTCACATGAGACTCTGAATGTAGTGGAGGAGAAACAGCGGGCAGAGGTTGGGAAAGATGAAAAAGTAATCACAGAAGAAGTGAATGGTAAAGAGCTATCACCTGGGAGTGGTCCTGGGGAGATGCGTAAGGTGGAGGCTGTGACACACAAAGACTCCACCTCCCTGTCTTCTGAGAGCAGCAGCAGCAGCAGCAGCAGTGAGAGTGAGGAGGAAGATGTGGGCGAATACCAGCCCCAGCAGCGTGTGGCCGAGGGCACCATCAGGGAGGAGCAGGAGGAGTTTGATGAAGAGGCGGAGGAGACGCCTGGCCAAGTCACCAAGGTAGTGCAGAGGAAGGAAGCGGCACCCGAAGCCAGCCCAGATGGACAGGCGGGGGCCGCTGGAAGCCCAGGAGACACAGAGACCCAGGACCATGTAGTTGCCCCCAAGGGATCTGGAGAAAGGAGTGTAAATGAAGGCACAATGAAGCAGGAGGGGAGAGAAGAAACAGAGGAAGAGCAGCAGAGAGTCAACGGAGAGGTGTCTCATGTTGACATTGATGTTTTGCCACAAATTATTTGTTGTTCAGAGGTAAATGGGAGTCCGGAGCGGGAGCCACACTATTGAGTTTCTTCTCAGGTGGGGACACCTGCTTTCTCCTCCACCTGTCCTCCCGATTCTCCTGCAACTTTTTAAGCAAGAATCTGATTTTTCTCTCTCCTGGGAAGAAGGGGAAAACACTGCTTTGTAGATTTTCTGCCAGCTCACTTCATAGTTCCTGGCTTCTTTACTGCAACTGGATCACCTGTAGAGAACTTCCCTACGACCACCACAGCCTTTTTTCTTCCCGTTTCCCCTTTAAATTTCTCTTTGCATGTTTTGGATGCTTCCCACTGTTTTGTCTTTAGTTGCACTGCTTCCTCACACTGAATGCCTATGTAATAGACAGTGGTTGATGTGCATGTGTGCCCTGCTGTCATGATTGCATTTGACCCTTTTGGCTCAGCCTCTCACTCCTCAACCTAAGGTTCTCACAGCTGGTGCAGGCTGTGATTGCCGTGATGCTGCAAGAGGTGGCGTCTGGTGCAACAGGAGCATTATTTCCTGAGTGCTGCCATGACTTCTGTTTTTAGAGGCCAGGGATGGGATGGCTTGATTAAGAGCCTCTTTCTTCCTGCTGGGCAGCCATAGGCTCAACTGTTCCCTTCTCATTCTGTCTTTACGTCAGTTCTAAATTTTTTTGCACCAATTCTAGATTTGATTTTGTTTTGTGAGTTATCAGCACTGGATATAAGTCTTTTCTTTTTCAAAAAATAGAACTTTCCAGAGTCGTCTCAGATGAAGTCTTGGTCCTTTGGTGCAGTGTCTCTGTTTGGGAGTGAGAGAGGGTTAGGGAATGTTTCTTGACTGTGAAATGCTGGCAGCATAGGGATGTATCTGTATTTGTTCTCTTTGAGGGGGTGGACAAATCACAGAATGACTTTGACTCGAAATAATTAATGAATTTTTACCATGTTGCCTTTAAATGTGTTTTACTACAGAGAAGAGACTTCAAGAGTCTTTGAACTTGGAATTATTATTTTCTGCATTTAATATAAAGTTGTTGTTCTTTGAATATTTATACCTGTTGGGAATTTTCCACAGAAGGTGCTGTAGTAGTTTTGTAGTTGAATCCTGCATGCCCAGCAGAATACAGTGTTAACAGACCCTCTCTATCTAGCCTTGCTGTAAATTGTTCAAAGCATTCATACAGCACCCATGGAGTAATTGTAGAGAAAACATCGTAACATATGTAACAGAAGAAACACTGCAAATTTTAGACAATTGTAATTAGAAAAACCATACTTGACGGTATCCTTTGTGGAAATGACATCTATTGAAGGAGAAGAGCCACTCTTAGCCAACCTAGCTTGCATGCCAGTTAAAAACAGTGCACTTCACACAAACCATGTGGCCCTTTAAACTGTAGTAAAATTAGAGTCATGTTATTATGCATAGTTCATTCAATGTTCTCTTCAGTGATGTTGATTACTTTCCAAAAGTAGTGCATACACATCAGTGCAGTAGTTTGAGATGATCATAATTTGAAAGGTAGCATAATTTACATTAGCTTATGTTTCTTGTGTCTACACATATATGTATATCCAGAGTACATGTATATATGCCATACTTAAAAGTTTTCACTTATATCTTTGCTTTAAATTGTTTGCTTTTACTCTATGCATGACTGTGTGTTTAGATATGTTTCTTAGATTTATTTTTGAAGGTTTCTTTAGGCACTTCTACTTTGTCACCTCTAGAATTTATTTTTCCCTTCCTTTCCACTTTAGCCACCAGTGGTAAAAACAGAGATGGTAACAATTTCTGATGCCTCACAAAGGACAGAAATCTCCACCAAGGAAGTCCCCATTGTCCAAACTGAGACCAAAACCATCACTTATGAGTCTCCACAGGTACAGAGCACAAGACCCACCCGCTTGAGTTCGTTTTTACTCAGCATGTCTGTTTCTGTTTCTGTTGACTTCTTCCAGTTTACTTGTTTCTGACTTCAATGTAGTTTTCCCATCTCTGTTTTGTAAGCAGGCACCACCAACAACATAACTTGATATGCTGCTATCTTACATTGAGCCAGAAAGTAGCGATCAAATTGGTGACCCAGCAGTCATAGGAGGATCTTATATCTAACTACTTAGGGTAAAGGATGTAAATTGTGTTATTACTGTAAGGCATTTCTGGTTTGATGTATCCAAAATAGTCATATACAGTTGGAGAAAAAGAGTGTTTTATGAAATGTACTGAGTCTGACGTACTTTATGATTAGTAGTGTATACCTTCCCCCTTGCTCTTACTCAGTTAAAAGAGACCCAATCAACTTTCGCTTTCTTGTAAGATGTATGGACACACACACACTTTGTACATCTCAATGGGTTATTTTTTTGTTATTTTGTCATTTGTATGTTACGTTTGATGCTGTATATCTAAGTAATTATCAAATTTGTGTGTTTTTAATTCTTCAGATATTGGTTATGTCAAGTTTTTTTTAAAAAGTACTAAAATGTTTAACCTAGGAACAACAAAAAGGGAAAGTGCTCATCATTTCAAAAGTATAACTATTAAAAAAAATACGTATGATTAGTATTTCCTCCCCCGAGCAGATTTACCTTCTGGGATTGTATCATGGTGGAGTATGGCAGGTCAATGCCCTCTCAAAACAAGTTTTAAAGGCTGTGTGCATGGGTGGAACAATTCTCAAGACGATTTGGGGCACAGTTTAATCTCTCTATGTGTATAAACCCACATAAGCACAAACAGCTTTCTTACAATGTGTCCACGTGGTAGTGGTGTAACTGTGTTGTGCTAGGACTTCATAAAGAGAGATCAGATGTATGAGCCAAATTTGAGAGAAGTTTCCTCTTATCTTACTAATAAGCACTAGCTATCCAAGTCACTGCCAAAACACATGAAAAATGTTTGGCAAGCTTACACTGTTAGACTATTAATTTGCTTCATTGTTTACCTTGGTAAACTCTAGAAACCCTTGCTTCTTCTAACATCAAAGCATATTAAAATAAAAACTATATGCGTAAGATTATACATACTAGAGCACACATGCACATGAGCAGTATTAAAATATGCACACCCATGTATATGATTTTATAATACAAGTCATAGGAACAATGTAGTTTTTAAAATTCTACTATAGGGCTGGGGGTAGAACTCAGGGGCACAGCGCCAGCCTGACAAGTGGAAGGTCCTGAGTTTGCTTCTTGGTGCCCCCTCCCCAAATTCTTCTATAGATAAGCAAATAAGTAAATGATGCGGGCTCAGTCAATCCTAGTCAGGCTCTGTTGCTTAGTAATCCAAGAAAGTGTTATCTGTTTTTATTCACCTGTGCTTATAAAACAGTAACAAACTCAGCACTACCAGTCACTGTGGAAACATCTCTGCCTGCTTCTGTAGTTTCTTTTTCTAGTGTCTCCAGTGTCCCTCAGATCCTCTTCACTCTGGTGTAGCTTTCAGTCCCACCTTCTGCTTCATTCTTCATCCTTTCTCTTCCCAGGGTATTTCTTCTCCATGTGGTATTTAGCCTTTTGCCTGTCCTCTGTGAGATGCCAGGCACTCTCTTGGTCTGTAACTTACTGCTATAGGCATGCAGAGGATGAGCAAATGACCAACTGCATAAATTTTAGAAGGTGCACATTCAGCAGGTTGGGGTCCTCTCTGACATGTAGAAGTTAAGCATTGCTTTGTATTTGTCCCCCAATTATTCAAAGATTGACGGTGGGGCTGCTGGTGATTCGGGCACGTTGCTGAGCGCACAGACCATCACATCTGAGTCCATGTCAACAACTACAACCACACACATCACCAAGGTAAAGAGACCTGGGAGGGTCTAGGGAAAGCACAAAGCGTTACAAACAAGGTCTTTGCTGAATTGTTTCTTTGTTCCTAGATGGACTTCTGAGTAATAGTGGAATTAGAATTATACTCCATTGATAAATGTATTTAAGTCAAATTGCAGTTTTGTGAAGTACAAAGGAAAAAACTGTTACAAATAGCCATACTTAAGACAGCTGCAAGAACAGAGATATTTTAATAAACTATAAGCTGTACAGTGTGTAAAATAAATTTATGGAACTGAAGCTGTGCCCTACTTCCATTGAACTGGCCCTTCTGCCTAAAGGAAGTGAGTAAAACTTGTCGTTTCGAACTTTAAACAAGTTGTTGCAGTATTGTAAAATTTACCTCATTCACTTATGACGGGGAATGCTGCTTAGGGGCATTTTCCCAGATCATTCTCTGAGTATTTAACACCAGATACCTAGTGGCTCAGCTGCGGCAGCCTCACTAGGGTCTCAGAAATGTATGAATACCTTGGCCTGCCTCAAGACTACAGAAATCTGGGTGTATAGGAGGCTTCCAGGTGACTCTGGTGCGTATGAAAGTCATCTCATTTCTAACTCAAGTCTTCAAGTATTTTATTCTGCTTCTACCTTTCACACTTGATTAATCCTCAGTGGTCTTTTACAATAGTCATTACAAAAATGGCAAGAAACTTTGTGGATTAAAAGCTGCCACATAATGCAGGCTACCACTGGCACCCATTTTAAAGCATTTTCAGATACTAAAGCTAGTGGCAGGCTTTATTTCTTATGGGAAATGCCATCACCTGAGACTTTGTGCAGCAGTGTATAAGAGGTGTGGAGGCTGGAGGTGTTATTGCAGGACCACATGGCGTGTGTTCCTCCTCTTTTAGAAGGGACGGGACAGGAAGAGGCTGCCCCAGGCGAGCCAGTCGCTGTGAGGCAGGTCACCCATGGCTCCTTCCACCAGGCCCCTCTACACAGTCTTTGGGGAGCAACAGGCCGAGGCTGTGATCAGATCACAATTTTAATAGAAGTTTTACCCACCTTCTCTATCTTCAACCAAATCCAAGCCCTGTTTTTATTACACTACACCAGATAAACAAAATTACCAAATGAATTTGTATGACTAGTAGTCAAAGTATTACAAACATTTTCCCAAGTGTCTGTCCTAAAACAGATAAATTGTTAGACTTGCTTGTAACTACAAATACCAAACAATTGTTTCTTCTTTGTCTTCCTCTTTTCAAAAACTGACCAACTGAGAGTGAAGAAACTCAGGATATTGTGACAGAATATCCCAGCAGAATTACTTATTACAAGTCATGGCATCTGTCCCATTGTAATCTCACCTAAGTCTGGATAAGTTAGTTTTAGAGTTGCTTTCAGTTGAGAGCTGCTTCAAGTTTAATAATTCTTGGTGTTCAGCATTCAGCATGCATGGCCTTAGGTTGGGCAAGAGGGCAGAGTGGGATTCATCTTCTTTGTGATCATGTGATAACGATGCTGTTTTTCTTTTTTATACCTTTTAGACTGTAAAAGGTGGAATATCTGAAACGAGAATTGAGAAGCGCATTGTGATCACAGGTGATGCAGATATCGACCATGATCAGGTGAAGACCATAGGTTCTGGTTCTGGCAGCAGCCTTGTCTGTGTGCTGTAGTTTGTACCTGTGGTCATGTCACATCCATCCCATGTAAACACCTTCCCAGGACTTGCTGGGTGAAGTACAGCTCCAAAGCAAGGCACGAAGACACTTCTTCAACTGGATGTGGCCTATTCATTTAGGTTTCTGAGCTCTGATGCAGCATCAAGCAGAGATTGCTGTGTATTTCACTCTGGTTTTATGTGTACTTTAGGCTGAGAATAATCTGGAGGATTTCTGGCAACCATTAGGAATTACAAGGGTATAGTTTAAAGGCAGATCTTCTAATACTTGGAAGTGAATAGCAGTTTAATGCCACTGGTTTCTAAAAGTTGAGAAAGCCACTAAAACTTCCTTATACCTATCTTAAGGAGTTTTTTGGTGTTTTTACAGCATACAAAAATGGGCAAATAGCCAATAACGACCAGGTGGTTTTACCCATTAGTATCACTGGGTTGGAGGAAGAAGGGGAAATCTGTCTCTCACAAAGAGAAAGTTTACACTAATTCTGGAACGTTTTTTTTTTTGTTGTTACTGGGGATGAAACTCACGACCTTGTGCTTGCCAAGCAGGCACCTATGCCACTGAGCTAAATCCCCAGCCCCAGGAAAGTAAATTTTTGAGCAAAGAATTTTATATTTGATAACCATATATAACCAGAGAAAAATGGGTTTTCTCTTAAATTTTCTCTAAAAAAGAAAATTATTCCTCATTTTTTGGCCTTTGTAAACATGAATTTATTTGCATGTTTCATAATGTATTTTTTAAAATGTCTCAAAGGATTATTAGTTAAAGGTTTCTTCTGACTCGGAATTTTAAGTTAGGAGTTGGATTTTCTAGATAACTAACAGAATACTTGACTGCTTACTCTGGAAAAAAAATTACTCATGTGGATCACTCGTAGTTTTTAATAAAATAATTTTTCAATTTGGCAGTGTCAAGTGATAGTTTTCTCACAATCCATATTGTTGCCATAATTAGTATTTTACAATATTTAGCTTTTTGTGCTTATATTTTGGAGTAAAAGGAATTACAGCAAACATGAAAACATGATTTCAAATGTTTGAAGGTTTCAATGTCAGTTTTTAGTTTTACCTGCTTTTTTTTAGAGCTGTGGCTTTTTTTTTTTTTTTAAATGGAATGGGCTCAGAGTTTTGCTTAGTAACCATGCAACTGACAGAAACTATAGTGCAAGGAAGAACTGCAGTTGTCCCCTTAGGCAGCTGGTGAGCAAAAGGAAAGGGAAAATTGTGCTGCCTGTTTTCCCAAATGCATAACTTTTTTTTTTTTTTTAATTAGGTGTTCTCTATCGTAGAAAAATTTTTTTTCTTCTAAACTCCTTTCCTGGATTTGGTAGTTCTGTGGCATTGTGTGGCGTTTTGTTTTCTTCTACTCTTCTTTACAAATAAAATTAACAATGAGAAAAGCATATTTCTTCCCTGAAAAAATAAAGTCTTTCTATATTGTTGTAACACTTTTATACAGTTTACAGAAAGATAAAAACAGAAAAGCTGCTTTTCACCACATGGCCCAGGGGAGGAGACCACCAACCACTGGCGTGCCTTGGTCAGCCTCTTGGCCGGCCACTTCTAATTGTGTGTGGCTGTTGCTACTCTTTTAGTTCTGCATCTTAGAAATTCACATTTTTCCTGCAGTATTTTCGTTGAACAAATATTTTAGTTTGGACAATTACTGAGAGCCTGAGAGGGTAAAGATGACGCCTGGTTCGGTGCTTTGGAGTCTTGGCATTTGAGTAACAGCTAGTGTTACTTCAGTGTGTAGATCATCACTACACCTGCTGGCTGGCTAATGTTTCTTCAGTTCACATAAAAAATCTCAAGGTGATCTTTACAACTTTCGAATTAGTCTTGGGTTACAGGTAACAGTGCTAGGGCCCAGATGAAAGCTGTTTTCTCCAAATCTCACGGTGAGTACAGCCTGGCATCCCAAACCAGCGCGTTTCTCCTGCATGTACCATCATGTGAAAGCAGCCAGAGGAAAGGGAAATTTGGGGAAATGAGAAGCGTTCTCTTAGATGAACAGTGGTCCTAACCTGAATTTTCCTGCTCCTATCAGTGGAGCAGTCAGGCCATGGCCATGTGAGTGTGAGTCCTATGTGATGAGTGCACAGTGGGTTTTACTGTCCCGGGTGTATAGCTGTTTTCTCTTCTGACTCCACAGGCCCTGGCTCAGGCAATCAGGGAAGCCCGAGAGCAGCACCCTGACATGTCTGTCACGAGAGTGGTTGTGCACAAAGAAACAGAGCTGGCAGAGGAAGGGGAAGAGTGACCAAGGTAAGAGGCCCCTGGCTGTGGCCTTTCTCATGGCTGCTCTGTGAGTCTGTGCGATGGAACTTTTTTTTATCAGTGTCTCTGTTTCCTAGTATGTTGGAATTCATTTTAGGTGTTTTTAATCCTCAAGTGCATCTGCTCAAGTACATACAATTATAAACTTTGTGACCATTGGGTATGCCGTGTCATTAACTACAATTTCTGTAGGAGCTGCTAACTGTAGACATTCATGTGTTATGCTATTGTTTATCAAGTATATTAGTATAAGCTGTGTCAGTAACCCTTTGAAGAAGGTGCTATTGCCCTCATTTTAAATGAGAGCTTGCTTTTTCTGTATGATGAAAAAGTATGATTCATTTGTTTACTGCAAAGTCAGCAGCGTTCCGGGTCTATCATTTGAAGAGTTTATCTTTCCCTCTTTAATTTGTCTGCAGTTTCATGTCTGCAGTTAGGTAACACACGTGGATGAGGGTGTTTCTGGCACTGTTTCTGTGATCTGTGTGTCTGTCCCTGCTCCAGGTCCATCCACTGGTGATGGAGAATCTTTGTGCTTAGCGCAGAACTACATCCCTAGCCCTGTGGTATTTTAATTAGAATTGCACGCACCCTGTAGTTCAATGTGGGAATAATTACATCTTTTTGATAATAAGTCCTCTTTTCCATGAATATAAAGTGACTGTCTATTTGTAGATTTTTTTAGTGTCTTTCAATAAAATTACATAATTTTTCAACCAGTTGCAGCCTTACAACTCATTTTTAGGTGTTGCTAGTAAAGAGGTACAATTGACATTTTCTATGACATATCTAATGACTTCATGTTTTAGATACTATTTTCATTGCAGGGTATAACATGGAGCCTGTAAGCAGAACTTGTTTAAATTGTAAACAAAAACATAATACCTACGTGCCTGAATAAATGCACTGTGTTATCTATAAATGTTTATCATTTTATTTTTGATATGTATCTCCCTGATAGTTTTATATATGAAAGACTGAGAGCATTCTTACCTGAGAGGCAGAAGACTGGATGCTGAATTTAAATCTTTATAGATGCCAAACTAGGTAACACTGGGCAAGTCATCAGGATGCTGCAATCTGCTTTTCCTAGCTATGGAATTTATTATATGGATAGAGCAAGATAATAAGAGGATTTTATATAAATGAAACATGAGAACAGTGATGTTTTCCCCCTAAATGTTAATGCATCAGTTACTTATTTGTAAATCAAATTAGGAATGTAAGACAAATTAGTAACCACTGAAAACACTCACCTTCACTTGGGGCAAACATTTTAGTAAGTTTTAAAGTAAGTTAAACTGGTTATTCCTGGCATCATGTTCATTTTTTAGTGAATATGCCCATGTGTGGACATGCATGCACACACATACAGCATTTGAAGTTTATGTTTCCATGGGCCATTTTTAATAAATGGATCAGAAAATGACAGTATAAATTCGACAAGATTCATTCATCCATTCAAAACATAATTATCAAGTTCCCACCCACGAGGGCTAAGGTAAGCTGGGCATTAAGGATTCAGTGGTAGACAAAGTAAACACCATCCACTTATTTGAGGCTGACATGGTCCAGGACGGGAATTGTGAATGTTAACACAGTGTAGTTATAAACTGACTAAGTGCTCTGAAGCAAACAAGGTGCTCTGAGAGAAAAGGCCAGGGTGCTGCACTAATGTATATGTCACTTGTCACTTGTGAAAGGAGTCTGAAATCTGAAGGATAAGTAGAGTCACCAAAAAAGCATCTTGGAGTCATTTTAGTTTTTCAGTTGCCAGCTGCGGCTGGCTGCTAAAAGCTCCTTTGCTGGTTTGTCAGCTGAAGAGAGGGTTTCTCCTCCTCTGCTGCCTTCTGGCTGCTGTGCTGCAATCCCAGAGGCAGCAGGTGGGCTGAGGCCAAGGGCAGCACAGGACAGTGTCCGGAAGTCAGCAAAGCAGAAGAGCTGTTGGCGCTGCATCCACTGCTCTGCCCTCCTGACCTGACCGGCCCTTTGGAGCAGCTCTCAGCTTTTGATCAAGCATTGAAAGTGGGGGTGGCCAGGTCAACAGAAAATGATCAAAGAACAACAGGTGGAAGAAGAACTGCCCAGCCTGCCTTCCTCAGCTGGTGGAGAGTAGCTCTGCAGCAACCAGGAGCTAAATGCAATCTGTGAAAAAGAAAATGTACTTCAGATGAGTCTCGGTCTTTGTGACATTTTTATGACTTTGTGACTTTTAGCATCCCACCTTCTGCCAGTTTGTTCCAGATGTGTATTTATGAGCCCTCAGATGAAGACAAGTTATTATCAACCCTGAGCCAGCAGAATGGTGTCCCCTTAGAGTCCTGATCACAGGGAGAGGGCGAGCCCCGTGGTATGGTCCATATGGCTTAAGAACGAGCCATAAGAGGAGAAGGCTCAAGACTCTGCTTCCCCTGGCTCCACAAGCTAGCACCCTGAGCTGCCATCAGAGGAGCCTCCTGGCTCCTGGAGTCCCCACAAACGTGAGAAGCGAGCAGAGCCTCCTTTCCTCCACAAATCATGCACAGTCGAAGATGCGACTGTGAGGAGGGCCCTCATCTATTTACTTTCTTGTTCCTTCGTTTGTTTGTTCATTCATTCAGCAGAAGTTATGAAAGGCCCAGTATGTATCATCTGCTGTTTTATCATGAAGGTAGCAAGTAAGATAAGGCCTATGCTCAAGGACAGTAAGTTGGTGGTAGCAGAATAAAGTTTTTATGTTCTGAACCTGAGATGGTAGGAACAACACAGAGCTCTGATTCAGAACAGTGTCAGAGATGTCTTCTCATGTACGCTTCAAGTTGAGTAGGAGTTGGCAAGAAGAAAACTGTGAAAGGGGCCAGTCCCGGGGAACCATTGAGCCCGAGAGGAATAGCATACCACCAGCATAGCCAGACTGCAGACCACAGTAGCTCAGAGCAGGGGGGACGGGTTGCAGAAGAGAATCACAGTCGCTCAGTTTCCAGCTGGGAAGGGAAGCACTTGTAATCATGGCTTAAGGGACTTGTTTTTCACATGTCACATACAGTGTGCTCTGTCACCTGCTCAGCAACCTGAAAACAAGGGTAAATTTTTTCTGTGTTCTCTAGTGGGGAGACCAACCACCTTAGGAATTCTGCAGAAGGCCTGGAAGTGCAAGGCCCACCTTAATGCGCGCACATACCCACTTTGACTGACTACTACAGTGATAGCAAACCTTTCAGAGCTTTCACAAGCACAAGCAGCCTGCTGTGGTGTGCGTGCTGTAGGTTCCCCAGCACTGGCTAGACATATACCACATGGTCTAACTGCCAGTGCAGTGCAGCATCGCAGGCTGTGAGTTCAGATCTGCTTCCTGACTGTGAGATCCAGGCGCGTTACTTCTCTCCATACCTCGTTGCTGTCATCCACAAACTGGGCAAGAGGACAGACTTGACAAAAGCGATTGTTTCCAGGAAGGTTATAAGGCTTTGTAACTTACGAATCAGCATGGACCTTTTGTTCTTAGGTCAGATACAATGAGGATTTCTGCTTCATGTAGGGTCTGAGTGGAGAGGTCCAGGTGGGATGAGAGCTGTGAGAACCCCACACCTCTGAGCCAGAGCCGTTTTCATGGGACTGGCAGAACTGATATAAGAGATTGCTAGAATCCTGGTAAACTGTCATTCTTAGCCCTGCAGGTCATGCCCGTAGCCCACAGTAGATAACTTTAAATGAGAAGTATTAGTTTCGAATTACTATGCAAATGTGAGTACTCATGTCTAAAGAAGACAGTGCTGTGTGCAGACCATTCATTTTAATGTCAGCCTGAAGTTCAGGCTTCCAAAGCCAAGCAGGAAGTAGCCGTAGCTGGTGGCTTGATGTGTTGGTAGATCCAAGTCACTCATTCACATGTGCGCTTGGCGAGTGTCACCCTCCTTCAAAGAGAAGTGCAGACCTGCTGGCTTCCAGATGAGATTCTCCATTCAGGAGCCAGGAGTTTTTCGAGTATATAAAATGTGTTGCACTTTTATTTTATTCTATTTGGTTAGCTGTGCTAGTTTCACATTTAAATTTGCATTTTATTACAGCTTAGTTTTCAATACAGGTTATTCACACCTAAAATGAAGACTTCTGCTATCTAAAAATAAAAGCTAGTTTGGGTTTAGTGAATTTCAGGCACAGCCTGTCTTTACCCTGAAATGCTATAGAATGTTCTGTTTAGCATTATAAATCTGACAGATGTTATCCTGAGTCACTTTCCAATGATATATTTGAACGCCCCAATCAGAGGCACCAGCTGCCACCACTGTCGGCCCCTTTGTCCCAGGGTTTGCTCTTGGACCTAACCTTTGCTGACTTTTACTGTTTTCCACATGAAACTATCCTGCTGGTAACAAAAGGTTATAATTTTTGAGAAGGGAGAGAGAGTAGGAAATGGAGTCCTGTGTCCTTGCACTCTGTCCTCCCACAGTGCATGTATTCACACATAGAAGGGATTGCATGGCCACTCTGCTCGGGCCGCCATGCTGTAGTCTGGTTTGTTTCTGCATGTAGCGCTGCGTTGGAGGTGGTTTTCATGTTCTTACCTCCTCTCTTTTTCAACAGACATTGGATGGATATATGATGGTTTACTTAAATACTTTTACAGTAGTGGATATTTAAATTATTTCTGTCTTCATAATTATACACACAGTTGCAAGATTATACTTTATATACATCTTTGTGCATTAATGTCATGAATTCTCCAGGTCAGCCTCTTCTAAAAATCACACTTGGTGAACCACGAAGGGTTCTGACACATTGCCCAGCTGTCTTCCTCAAAGTGTCTGCAAGTCTAGGCCCAGGGCTGTTTTGGAGTGTGTGTTTTCTTACACGCTGGCTAGCTTAAATCATGGAAGACATTTTTAAAACACTTTATCAGCCTGATTAGTAAAAGCGCCTAATTGTGAGGAAAAAACTTTTTAATTGAATTTTTCCTTACAGTGAGGTTGTACTACACATGCACATATATTACATATGCATGTATATGC